TCAAGTCCTGCCCGAGTCGAAAATTTTTTCGATTTTTAAATTATATGGGGAAAAATATTTAACCTTGTTTTCGTTGCGTACGCTGCGAAAACAGTTCAAGACGCCTAAAAGATATGCATGAAAGGATTCCGCTTTAAATGATCTAAAAAAAGTCCGTTGTATATGTCTACTTACTAACTTGCAAGAACGACGGGACGCGGCCGACATCGTGGGTACCTTAAATCTATAAAGATCTCTTCATCTTTGAATGCCGAAAATAACTTATTGCTATTAACTAACTATTGTTTGTAACATTACGAAACGGAAGTTTTGATTTCACTTTTGAGAATCATGATTCCTCATTACTCACCAACTGCATTGTTACGCAAAATAATTACTTACGTAAGAAAAATAAGTAGTAAATATACTGAAGACAAATTTAAAATAGGCTGTTTAAATCTTTATTTTAGATAAACCCTACTACGTCCGCCTTTGTGAAGCATCCGTAACGTCGGGTCGTAATAAAAAATATGTTAGCGCATAGATTTCGAGTTTAAAATCGTTATATTTAAATATGTAAAATCAAATATGACGAATATTTCTACGCCCGTTGTTATAAATATAGGTAAAATATTTTGGGATAAACATAAGAAGAATAAAGTAGCTCGAAAATTAATTAGATGTTCTAAATGGACACAAATAAGTGTCACATATTGGCATCAAGCCCTACCATAATATCCACACAATTTTGAAAGCTACGAATTTTAATAGTATAACATCGCATGCTTTTTTGTTTCTGCTGTAATTGTCTAGAGTACCTATGTGTTTTAAATATGTCATGTCAGTAAATGTCAATTAAATAAATAAATGTCAGTATAAAGTGATTAGAATTGGTATTTCTACTTGTTTCAAGAATACAGTAGGTAAACAATTTTTGAGGACGTTATCTCGTTTTAAAAGTCCTACTGTTCCCATCTGCTCTGTATACACGCATCAAAGATTCTCAATTCGAATTTCATTTCGAACTTCAATACGTACAAATTAAACGCAATCATACTCTTTGATATTTAACCATAGCCAAAGCGTTTTCGAATATTATTTTCGCCTATTCACTATGGTACGTGGACACAGGTTTAATCATCACAAGTAGGTCAGTAGGACGAGGCCGCGACCCGCGCGCCTGGCGTGCGCGCTGCAACTATTGATCGACCGACCGTACCTAGTACCTACTGACGGAACAAAGGGATCTATTAAGAACCTTTGCACTGGAGATTCAACATTCCAATTTCAAATGGAATACGGATCGACACAGATTATGCGATTAGAGCAGACAATTTAATAGCTTAGCTTAAGCGTAGAAGATTTAGCCCTTTGTAAATTTTATCAATTATTTTGTAGTTTAGATCGAGATATTTTCGTTGTTAGAGTTTAAGTATTTTATTTAAATATAACACATAAAGGTTTAAAACGCGATATATTAGTTATACTTGTGAGTGACCACGGCAGCTGCAAAGCGTCCGAAGCGTCGGGCCGTAGTTAAAATATTTCTTGTCTTGTGTTCATAAAACTTGAGAAGACTATATAGTTCTATAAAGGGTTAAAAATGATAAAATAATATGTGTGAAATCTTCAAGACACTTTCCCTTGTCTGTTTTACAAATTGACATAAGTATGTAGTTAAAACAGCCAAAACACCTCGGACAAATAATAAATTTTAGATAAAAGATGGCGTCTTAGTTAAAATGGTTCAATCTATAAAATCCACTTATATGGAATAACTGTCCACGACTGCTTAACAGCATCCATCCGCTAACAGTTTAACAAATATAGTTCACGTTTTAAACAGTTAATTTTTTTATATGGCAACGAGAAAAAACACCAAAAGTCACAAAAATTTTTTTTTTAAAAAAAAAGGGGGGTTTTTTTTTTCCAAAAAAAACCCTTTTTTTTTTTTTTTATTTAACCCCCGGGGGGAAAAAAAACCAAAAAAAAAAAAAAAAATTGGGGGGGGGTTTTTTTTTTTTTTTTTTTTTAAATCGAGAAAGTTTTTTAATCCCATATCATAAATTATAAAAAAAAAAAAAACCATTTTTTTTTTTCCCAAAATTTTTTTTTTTTTTTTTTTTTTTTTTCCCCCCCCCCCCCCCCCTTTTTTTTTTTTTTTTTTTTTTTTTTTTTTTTTTTTTTTTTTTTTTATGGCAACGAGATAAAACACCAAAAGTCACACAAATCTTTTTTTGCTAGAAACAAAGGATTGTTTGTTTCTAGCAAAAAACAGCTTTTTATTAAATATTCAAATTAAGACGTCGGAAAACAAAACAGTCAATATAAATCAATATATTGGCGATATGTATAATGTAATTACAATTAAAGGAAATAACCATTACAAAGCAGAACGAGTTTTAAAATGTGTTTTTTTTTCAATTTTGCGCAAAAACCATTTTCAAATTATAATCAATAAATTATAATAAAACAAAACTCATTTATTTTCAAGCAACAATTATATTTTATACAGTGGCCTGGGGACAGTACAATGAATGGACGTATCCCTTTCGCAACATAAATTGCATAGCTGTTCAAGCCATCATGGTTTATAAGAAATACTAATAATATTTGGTTTAATACAAACACATGTTTATAAACAGTTTAAACTAGACTTGCAACGAATAGTATATTCGGCGAGACCCCTGACCGAATAGTCGAATATTAGGCAAAAGTATTCGGCTGGATTTTTGCTCCAAAAACTTGTGCAGACGTGATTGTTTCGCGCTCCTTTGTTTTGTTCTAACGTACTCGTTATTATTATGTACCAATTACTACTTATATGATTATAACAGAAATAAAAATATGAATATATACGTAAGCAATCGATTTTAATTTTTCATTTTACCAATTATTTCTCTATGACAAAATATATTATTTAAGTATTCGTTATTCGGCCGAATAATATGTAGATTTTCGGTATTCGACCGAATATAATAAAAGCACTGGCCGAATAGGCCGAATAGTAACCGAATATTCGTTGCAAGTCTAGTTTAAACATTTAATAAATTTTAGTGTCTTCACATTTCACGACGAATATAAACGCAATATTCACGATGCATGAGCACTCAGCCCCATTGCATCGTCATAGGACGTGCAAGATGCATAAAGAACATCACGAAGGTAGGCCCCCCGCTTTTCAATTTTTGCAACTACCCTCATTTTACAAAAACACATCTGTCTTTATATTTAATTAAATAAGACGAAATACTTTCAAAATCATTTTAGCCCTTGTGAAAATAAACACAAAAGTTTTTATATTTAAAATGAGGTTAGTCAAATAAAATGTAATGGAGGTCAGACACTTAAGGCAGCAGCAGTTTCGTTGGATGCAACCACAACCTACCCACCATTCGACAAGACTGACGGTAGTAGACGCGACAATCCGGACGAATGATGGACAGGTCACGATTTAGTCTTCTTTCTTCTTCTTTAACAGCGTGAAGTAGAGTAGATACACATAGACATAGAGTAAATCTCAATCTCTCTGTTCTTTCAAGGCTTTGCTTTATAAGTTTTACCTTTCAAACTCTTAAGTTACTTTTACGATGTACCTTTACTTTTTCTTTATAACACCTACCCAAATAACCCTTTTTTTCTCTTGTTGCCTGCAAGAGATCACTGCTTAGCAAGAAGGGCGCCTTTTATATATAAGTTGGTACGTATATAAGTTTTTTGTGTCGCGGTTTGTGTTATAAATAATAAAGCTGTAATAAATAACTAAGTCACAAGACTTAAGATTATTTATGGCCCATTATACTCTAGTAAAAATGTGACACTGTAAACATCATTACTTTTCAGTGAAATATAAATGTTAAGACTCTCCAACAAGGAAATTATATTGCTGTAACAAAAACATCAAACACTCCAACAGCAAAAACTGAAGTTTAGTAAAACCTTGCTCAAACTGGCCTTGGCGAGAAGGCCAAACCCTACTAATGTAAGATATTCGACCTCCAAAATGGCTTACTCAAACAGCCACATAAATTAGTACCATTATACTTTTTAACTGTTTAACTTTTAAGAGTATCTGTAGTAGAGACTAATATCGCTATTAGTGTTCTTCTATGTGTTGTGGTTATTTTATTCAGTAAAAAAAAACCCGTTAAATTGGGTCCATTTCAAAATTTTTGCCTTTTGTTCAGTTGCGTGAACTACAGATATAAAATAGAGACTTATTTGGTGTGATCATTATATATTAAATACTTTTAAAAAATTCATAAATGTATATCAAAATAGGAAATAGTGAATAGTACTTCTACTCAAATATAACACATAGCTGTTATCATTTGCAGGAAAGAGATAACAAGATAAGATAGGAAACTGTGTAATTAAGTGGGCCTCTTATGAAATGGAAAATACTTAATATAAATTTAAAATATAAAATTACAAAATTATAATTATATTAATATAATTTAAAATTAACTTGTTTAAGGCACAAATTTGTATTTTGTGTGACAAGACGACTTATAACGATATCCTTACTCTCTCTATTAAAGAAGTATTGTTCTCTATCTTAGACTATTAGTTTGAATATAGAATTTGGAAACCATGTTTATTTTGTTCTTCAGGAACTAAAGTTAAGAATTATTAAAAATTGATAACGCATAGAAAGTAACTAAATATTGCTAAGTAACGACCAGATAAAACATGCCCAGAATATGTAGATAGGCAGAATTCCTAGTATTTTAATAACAAAAGAACTGCCTATTAAAATATTCATACTGTGTGTAAAAACTCATTGTACTCGAGAAGCTCTGTAGTTATAATTGCGTTTCAAGGTTACCAGTGAGTTTACAGCAACTATATATTAGAAATAGTTACTAAAATAGTTATAGCAAATGGTCAATTATCGCGTACAAAGTACAAGGTTGATTTAAAAACTGATTTGGCGCCACGTGGTTACTTTCTTGATGTTAGTAGCAGTAAGTTTCCAAATTTAAATTTCCCCGGAAACATCGCTAGTATTACGTCATTACCTGACTTGTGTTGCTGTCGAAGACGGCATCGTACGCGTAAATCCTCGGCGGCTCTGGCGGCGAAATGTTGCTGCGCGTGACTGCTATCGTGCTGTTCACGGTATCAACTGACACACAATTGCATGCGCCATCAATTTTTTCCCGCTGATCCATAGGGCGCAGGCGCACCACAACGCGAACCTTCTCGACCGTCCCGCCCATCTCCGCGTCCTAACCGCGAAAAAAATAGGTATATAACACGTGCCATCTAATGCGTCGTTATAAAACCAGTGACCCTGACACCATTCTTGATTGTTACTCATACGGAAATGGTTTGAAGCGAAAATGTACGATGGGTATACGTAATGGAGATTCCAATTGGAATTTTCAATTAGCAATGTGGCCGTTTTTTGCCAATTACGAAATCGTATCACATGATAAGAATAGATTCACTTACAGGCATTTTTGTTGTCGTCTGTTTGGTATGCGCACTAGTCTATTTAATATTATACTGACGTAATTAGGTCTTTGTTTGACTGTTGAGCAAAAATCAATATAGTCGACCTACTTTCCTTTGGACTCCCAAATTCTAAATTTCTGATTGACTCAATTCCCTCACGAAACGAAAATGAAATGACAGTTTTATAGCTGCCATTGCCAGTTACTTTCGCTTTTAGAAAATTGCACAGTGGCAATACTCCCCATGAACTTCCTGTTAAACATAGATTATATATTAAAACATAAACTTGTCATTTTTTTACTTTTTTAAATAAATTTACATGGCTTTATAACGATTTAAATATATATTTTTTTATTTTACGAAAGTTCCGATCACGACCCTAATTATTAGAAAGTAATTTTTACTTTCTGCATAAGCTGTAATGTCAGTTAACTGACAGGAAACGTCTTAGTCAGTTGAATAAATGTAATGGCGATGATCGAGTGTTAACGATGTTTATTTTTATAGAAAAATAATAAAATCCATCTTTGCAATGGCTTTTATCGCTAATAAAGTATTATTTAAAGTAACTTGAACTCCTTGTAGCTAGAAACAAAATGTCTTGCGACACAGTTGAGATTCCAGCCCATATTGGGTCAGTTGACGTCAATACAACAGTGAAAGAAAATAATTTGGAATTCGAATTATCTAGTGATTCCGGTCTTGTCGTTTCGGAGTCGTCTACATCGTATCCGTTATCTTTCGACACTGATTTATCACATATAAAAACATCTGATGCTCTACAGGATGCTGAATATAGCACCGATAATTCTTCGTTGGAGAATGAAAGTTCCCCTTCTGCCTCGTTAAGCCCAGATAATATAGAAAAAGATTATTCTAATCAAAACTCTCCTATTGACAAACCCAATGTTACTCCAATCAACAATATACATAACATAAATTCATTATCAAGCAAGTCCTTGTCTGTATCAGAAAATGATTTATCAAACATGCGTGAGACTTTCACAGAACTTAGAAAGTCAACTATAAGTCTTAATGAACCTATTGAGACGGTGTGTAGAGGTGAAGCTTCGAACAACTTAGAGGAGGCATCCACAAACGCATCCAGTGTGACTGATTTAAACACAGAAGAAATTCTCACACAATTCCAAAATCACAAACAGAAGGTTTCCGCCACCCAAATATTACCCGAAACAATACCACAAACTGTAGATTTAAAGAGTCGCATTCCTAAGGAAATCCTGTCTCAAGACATTGGCAATATTGTAAGGAATGTTCATGGTATATTTTCTTCTGTATCTGGTAGTTTAAAGAATGCCTATAACAGCCAACGTGTTACCCCGAAGCCTATGAAAAGTATTAAACCACCAAATAGTAAAGTCTTGAATGACATATTTGAAGACAGCGAGGTGAAAATACCAAAAATAGAGATAGAAGTACAGCAGACTCCTGAAAGTCCCGTACCCGAGACGAATGACCATGAAATTAATAAGGAATTCTCGAAACTGCAGATTGAGTCTCTAGAACGAGTACTGGCTGAGCAAAGAAAGGACAATGGTTCTCTAAGGGAGAAAGTTAAACAACATATAGATGAATTACAAGCAAAAGATCAGGCTTTCAAGGAATTGGAAGTGAAAGTGGACTTGGTAATTTTGATTTACTTTATTTATTTTTTATATATATATACATGTTTCCTTAAAAAATGTTCTCTATAATGATAAATTATTATTCTTACAAGTCATGGAGTGCAATGGGCGGCATTATCGCTATAGAGCGATCTTTTCCAGGCAACCCTATTTGAAATATTTATCTAATAAACAATAAGTAAAGCATTAATAATCTTAGGAACAAGGATTATAATTCAATCAAATTTCACAGGAGATATATAACAAATGAAATGGGTCTTAAATGGAAGCCCTGCGTTATTTTGAATATTATCTTCTTTAGATTTTTCAGAGGAGAGTCAATAACAAGATAAAAGATTCAGTTAATTGCAATTTAGTTTGAAAAACAACCAATTTCTTTGGTGAGATTCTGTACTTATAAAATAAAACACTATATCGTTAAAAACTAAACATATTATGTATATAAGTTATTCATTTTTAATTACAAGACGATATGATATGATTGTCAGCAGTGAAGATATCAATTAACAGTATATATTTTTCTCTTTCTAAATAAAAATAAAAATTATTATATTCGTACTGTAACTCAGGTTCTGCAAAGCACTGGTCAGGGTTTGAGTACCATTAATGTTAATTATCTGAAATGGATATATTAATCTTTTGTCCTTTAGATGTCCAAACATACTGAACAAGCACAAAGGGAGAAAGATGCAGCAGTAATGCGTTATGCCAGCTTGGAATGCACAGTGATAGAAGCCAGGAAAGCAGCTGAAAATGCTTCTAAGGCTGAGAAGGCAGCGATTGCTGAAAAAGAATTGCTGCTGAATAAGTTGAAAACAGCAAGGGAGGAAAAACAGAGGATCTGTCAGTTATATGACGATAAGGTGGGACTTAAATACTGTCTATAGTTTACGCGAGTAGTACACATTTAAATAAAACACTTTAACGGTTTAAAACGCGATATATATTAGTTGAACTTATTAGAAAATTATTTAACAACGGTCCGACGTTTCGGATGCTTTGCAACAGCCGCTGGTCACCGCTATATATTGCGTTTTAAACCGTTAAAGTGTTTTATCTAAAAGTGGGACTTGTTCATAAATCTATATGTTCACAGATTAGGAGTTTTCTTTATGATAGATAAGGACAGACGTGAATAGTTTTCACTTGATGGAAGGTGTAATGTCCCAGTCATATAACATCGTAACAAGAACACTACTAAATTGGGTTTGAGATATTCTGAAGTCCACAGACTAAACTGTTACGCGATATAACTTCACTAAGCTTTTTCAAGGGCGGAATTTTGATTCCATCCATTTAATATACAGATTTTCAGATGAAGTCCATATTTAATAATGAAAGATGGTGGGGATCAAACCCACAACCGGTGGATTATTCATACATGGCCACTATTAGACCAAGCCATCACCAGTCCATATACTTAAAGTCCTGTGTTGCATAGATGGGAAAGGGGGGGGGGGCATACAGACTGTTTCGCCATTAAGATCTATGTAGGGTCCTCTGGGTGGTTGGCGACATGTTAAATAATCAGTTATTGTGATTTCAGTGTCACGAGCTGTCTAACTCGGAGCGAGAAGTTACTAAAGTACGTGAAGAGCTGAAGGAATTGGAGGGTAGATTAAAATGGACGCAGAGTAAGCTACGGGTCGAAATGGATGCCTACAAGGTAAGTTTTTATGATATAACTAAACTATCGGTGTCTGCAAAAAAAAATTGCTAGCTGACTCGACGAAGTCAAAAAGTATTTATTCATGTAAGTACTTGTTGCCATTTATTTTATCGCCAAGTTTTATTTGACACCAGAGCATTACATATTTCCTTACTGTTCGAGTGAGTTCCTCCAAAGCCAAAGCATTTTTGCCGGTTAAATAATCATTTAATGTTATTAATAGATTATTTCTAGATAATATTTTGACAGGAAGAGTAACTAAACTATATGGTGTCAGTATATAAGTTGACAAGACAAAAAAAATTGTATAACTTACTCTCAGGTCTATCAAATGTCAGTGCAGTGTTTGTCGGTCCTTCAATATCATAAAAATGAAATTTGATGTTTCATTAATTACATAAACATTTACGTGCTGTAGTCTTGTAAGATCAAAAATCGATACTACAGGAAAGTGCAGATAGAGCGGAAAAGCTGGCTGCACAAGTGACGGAGCTGGAAGCGGCAAAAGAAGCAGCTGCCATCAATGCTACAGACTCTGTTCGCGCCCGACAGTTGGGTCTGTATATAAATTCAAATCGTTGTATTGCCCTTTATGTATAGTTTTTCAAATATAGTGTATTTTTCCTAACTTGGCATTATTTTTAAACAAAGACAACAACACAATGTAGATGAAATCGTGATTTTCTCACAAGGTTTCATGTTAATGTCATGCTAAATTAAGTAATATGTATTGCTTTTAAAACCGTTATAACTGGCTCTTTATTTCTTTTAATATAGCGCCATCTCCATTTTTAAGAATGTTTAAAACTGTTTTAGACTGTTCCCTCAGTCACCTTCAGGTGTAGTTGATTATATAATATATTTTGCGTTTTAAACCTGATAACTGTTTCAAACATTAATATTATTTTAGATGTCGAATTGAAGACGACGACGTCTGGTCTTAGGATGAAAATGATTAACTGAAATGAAATATATTAGTGTTAAACCGTATCTTCTTGTCTTTTTATTATATCTATGAAAAACCCGTGAAGATTCATCACGTTTCGGATTAAGTCTGTGGATTTTCGAATATATACAAAGCCAAAATAGGTCGACAGTGCATCGAGTTAGAATGCCATAGGCTGGGGTACATCACCCACCATTAAGTGAATCTTATGCTTGTCTCTCCTTCTCTATATTAAAAAAAATCTCTGTCTTCGAGATTGTTTAAAAGTTGTAATACATCATTTATAGATACCGTTCTTACATTAATATTATTAATTTAGATGTCGAATTAAAAGAGACGCAAGCTGCGTTGATCCTCTGTAAACACGAGAAGGAAGACCTGGATAAGAGATTAAACGCAGCACTACAGCAGTTGGACACCTGCAAAAGGGAAAGAGAAGAAGCTAGTAGCGCGCTCTCCGTCGCACAGAGTGAGGTATACTATTTGTTATTTCTTACATATATCTATACTAATTTTATAAAGTTGAAAAGTTTGTTTGAAAGCGCTAATCTCAGGAACTACTGGTTCGATTTGTGTTGGATGGGCCATTTATCGAGGAACACTTTACGAAGAGTACAGTTACAGTGGAAAATGTGGGAAAAACGGGGAAAAATATTTAACTTTGATGGTTTTGGTTATCGTGAACTGTTTTCGCAGCGCACGCAACGGAAACTCTTAAGGGTGAATAATTTTCCTCGTTTTTTCCACACTTTCCACTGTTTCTTCGCTCCTATTGGTCGCAGCGTGATGTTTTATAGCCTAAAGCTATCCTCAATAAATGGCGTATCCAACTCGAATTAATTAATTAAATAATTAAACAAAAAAATATTTTTCATTTCGAACCAGTAGTTCCTGAGATTAGTGCGTTCAAACAAACAAACTCGTATATTTTAATTAGTATAGATAACCCATTAACATTGATATGATAAGTCTGCTGACACATTGTATATCATGGTTTCAGTTAGAGAAAGTGAGACAGCACGCGTCCAGCTTAGAAGAGGAAGCAGCGGAGTTGGCAGCCTTGAGAGCTCAAGCTGCACTCGCCGATACCCTCAGTTCTCAGCTGCAAAGGTAGAGTTATTAAGAGAAATGGACAGCCCCGGTCGTCTATGGAATCTATATCGGTGGTAACGGTATATAGTAATAATGAAATTGGTGGAATACGCGAGAAATTAGCCGCCCCCCCCCCCCCCGGGTTTGATTCATGTCGTTAAGTGTAGTGTGTTTTGTGTATGTATTTTCGATAGAAAATATTGATTGAAAAAAATGTTATGACCCGGTCAGAACTTGAACCGGCATTCTGTGTTAACCGGCGTTCGCTTGTTGCTCTAACCCATTGGGCTACGAAGTCCTATGCGTCATGGTCGAATTCCAACGTATTGATACATGTAGCTCTCGCGCTATGTAATTTCAACCTTACCACTTGCCTATTAAGGTTCAATGTCTTATGCTTTGCATATTCCAGGGAAACGGACCTTCGGAGTCAAGCTGAGGCCGCCTTGAACTCTGAGCGAGCCCGCGCGGAGACGTGCGCGCGGCGAGAAGCAGCAGCGTTGCAACACGCTGCGCGGCTAACGGCGACGCACGTGGCCGAACGCGCCCGCGCATCCGAACACGAGGCTAAGGTAATTTTTCAAATAAAACACTATAACGGTTTAAAATGCGAAATATATTAGTTAAACTTATTTAATAACGTCGGGCTGCAGTTAAATTATTTTTTTCAATAAGGTCAACTAACTGTTTGTTGTGTTTTAAACCGTAGAAGTGCGACGCACACGGCCGAATGCGCCCACGCATCCAAATACGAGGCATTTCTAAATAAAATACTGTAACTATGTAAAAAGGCAAAATATATTAGTGAAACTATTTAAAAACATCGGGCAGTGTTTAAAATATAATTATACTAAGTTTAACTTATATATTTCACGTTTTAAACCGTAAAACTGTTTTATTTAAATTTATTCGCGTAAACTACAGACCTGTACCAAAACTTTATTAAATTCAATACTATTCGCTAATAAATATTACAATTAACAAGAAACGAGTTTAATATTAACTAAACACTTTCAACGGCTTAAAACGTGAAATATTCCTAGGACATTAAATCAAATAATAATCCAACTGAAATATATCTCGTTTTAAACCATTAAATGTGTTTTGTGTAATTGCCTACTCGCGTAAACTACAGACTACTATTGCTTAACTAGGCGCAAGCGCTAACAGCTGACAACGCTTCGTTACGAGAGAGAATAACGAGTCTTGAAGCGGAGATAAACACGCTTCAGAGTTCCCTTCAAGAGGAGATGGAAAGGAGAAACAAGGAGACACGGGTTCTGGCTAGAAAGGTATGATATTTAATGACATAAAAGGTCTGACATTTGAGGCCGTCAGAGACAGAGTAGCCTAACACAATTTTTAACTGACTTATTTTTATTCTAAAAAGACTACAACTTAACTTATTCTCACACAAATAAAGAAATTCATTTCCACCTAAGTTAATTGAAAATCATGTTTGTTCTTGTTAGGCCACTCCGGCTCTGGCACCCTCATTCTCATATGTAGCTCGAACATAAAATATTCATCAGACATCAAGATTCTTGACCTACTTCGGCTATAGACATTCGAAAGTCCAAGGATTGACTTTCACTCTTCCATGACTCCTTGAAGGAATTGTATTATTCCTAAGTAAATTTTATAAAACACCGAAATGATCATGACATGTTTAGAAGTAGAAAATAATATAAAGTCTTATAGAAGATAATATAATTTAATATTATTTTGTAGCAAAGCTGGCATAAATTGTAATCTATATCAATGTTATGCACATTTAAATGTTTATATTAAGAGCAAATATTACAAGGTTAGCTTTGTGAGAATCCTACTTTCCCACTTTATTGTAAATTATCGTTATAACGATATTAATAGGAAATAAATTGGTTGCACTACAGCACTCATGGGGTTTGGTTACCTCGCCTCCCTCTTACCTTTTACGTTCACGTAAATTTCCAAACTGTTATACGCAACAGACTCTGGTAACCGAAACTCCGGAGTATATGTCTAAACTGTTATACACTACACGTAAAACATAACATTTCAATTTGAAGAAACTAAGTTTACTTAGTCCTTATAAAGTATCAGACAGTAATCAAATTAAAACGAAATTTTACTTAAAAATAAATATGTTATTATTATGTACATTTATTTAATAATATTGTCATATAATTCAATTCAAATATTAAAATGAAAATATAAATGTTGATGATGACGATATTTCCCATCGTTACTGAAAAGCGAATCACTGTGCATGACGTCACTTAGGAAATCATCAATCAACTACCCGCAAACTTGGGACGTCACTCTCTTGACGCTTTTGGCGGTAATTTTAAATATATTATAAAATCGTGATTCCTATTTAAATGATCTAAATAATGATTGTTGGAATCTAATGATTCCAGGTTGCGGAATTGACAGAGGAGCTGGCAGAGGCGAACAAGAAATTGGAGTGGGAGAAGGGAGAAGTTGGTGTCTTGAAGAAGAAGCACGCTAGTGCCATCAAAGTGAGTCCCGAACTATTTCTAATTGAATTAACTCTAAGTATTTGTGGGTAGATTTTCATTTTTAGCGTCCGTATCAATTTTGCTTATTTTGTAGAATCTTGTTAATTGATATCAGATTAGTATTTTTAAGTGCTAGAAACATAATATATAATATCTTCCCTTGTTTGTGGTCTATAGTTAGTGAAGATATTTTTTTATTATAGAGAAGGACATTTATGATAGAGAAGGGGTTAATTTGATGGATTTTTTGAATGCCCCAGCCTTTGATGTAACATCTAAACGAGATGTCGACCTATGACTTTGGATATTCCGAAATCCACGGATTTCCAAACGAAGTCCAACATGTTTAAAAATTATAAATTAATTAGAATGATGTTGGATACCTCGACTCGTTGGTTATTGGCCGTACCATATATACATACATACATAGACCAAGGAGGCCGTTATACAAATGCGTTATGCTTGATATTGTAACCCTTAATATCTATATTTTTCATAACATAATTTAAAAATTAATTTTAGGAGTTAAATCGGGAATTGCAACGGGCGTTGAAACGGGTGGAACAGCTTGAGGCTAAGTTACCACAGAATGGTGACGCCACATCGACCAGGACTGGTGAGTACATTTCCATACGGAAAGGCCTGTTATGACGCTTAATACTTCCCACTGCTGGGACACGCGTATTGGCATATGACAAATGTTAATTTTGTTTCTAAGACATGCCATCAATTACTCAATGGTCAAAGACATCTAGAGATTTAGATCTAATACTAGATACTGTGCAGACAGTACAATTTGTAAATAAAAACTTACAATTTGAATACTGTCTTAATTTAGGCGAGTAGTACACACTTAAATAAAACACTTTGAACGGTTTCAAACGCGATATATATTAGTTAAACTTATTTAAAGATTATTTTACGCACGTTGCGGATGCTTTGCAGCAGACATGGTCATGGCTGTCGTCATCGATTTCCGAAAACGTTTAACTAATATATATCGAGTTTTAAACCGTTAAAGTGTTTTATTTAAACACTAGCTACCAATATTCGCTATAAAGACACGAGAGGACACCGTGAGTCAGTTCTGTATGAACCCAGCCAGTCTCTTCGACTACGACGAAACAGATGGCGCTAGCGTAGCCGATTTCACCACGGCAGCTGAAAAGCATCCAAAATGTCGGGCTGTAGTAAAAATAAATTGCAAAAAAGTTATTTAAACCGTTAAAAGTGTTTTATTTAAATGTGTACTACTCGCGTTAACTACAGACAATATATAATGGTGTATTCTTTATCTTTATGCAGGATCTGTGACGTCATTGAGTAGCGGCGAGAGCGCATCGCACGAGGAGCGTTTACACAATGGGCATGCGCAGAACGACGTCTTACCGGAGATACAGGTAACGTGTTTATTGTCTGCCCTTTAACGAGTCCCACAGCTGGCACTGCCGATGCTTTTAGACCTGTGCCGTTCGGCATCTGCCAACCGACGTTTCGCATATTTTACACTTTGACGACTACTCAATTTTGTATGTCAGCGTATTTGGTAAAATTATTGTTATGACAAAAAGTTTGGGGCATTTATCATTGTCAAATTATTTATTTGGCCATACAACTTAGACGAATAACGATTCGTCTGCGTAACAGTTCGCTTTTCGTTTGGCAACATTCAAAGTGCGCAGCGACGTTCAGGTGAAATCGAAATATCTGATAAGCAATGTCAGATTTTACTAAAATTTAACGCCTACCCACATTAGCATTTGGTAAACAATAAACAACTGAAAGATTCGCTACTTGAAAGTTGGCAATTTGAAATGTGTCATTCTAAAACGAAGGAAAATTTTAAGTTGGCTTAATAGAAACAAAATTCTATCACAAGTTGGCAAATGATTATTCTACGATGTAAAACTCTGCGAAACGCTAGTTGGCTAGTGATAATCGGTTGAACAATTTTCTGGGACAAGGCAGAGATCCCTGTATTTATTTTTAACATTTGTCATTTGCCAACTAATTCTCGAATACTGTCTGTACTTTACGCGAGTTGTACACATCTAAATAAAACCCTGTGACGGTTTAAACGCGATATATTGTAGTTAAACTTTTTTAAGAATCATCTTTAACTACCACGACGTTTCGTTTTCGTCTCCCCGCGCCCCCCGCCCCCCCACCCCGCATGTGTCTTTTCTCAAAAAAGTTTAACTAAAATATATCCTTTTAAACCGTTGAAGTGTTTTATTAACTTCTTGCCAGACCCTAAAAGGCGTTTTCTGGGGATTCATATGTTTAACTTAGCTAAATTATGCAGTTTTTTTTTACGACATTTTCTTATGTAATAAGTTTTTATTGCTAGCAATTAATTCGACATAACGTTTTTGTTTATAACTAAACTGAAAAAATGCATGTAATTTTTTAAATATATTTCTATTTAAATAAAACACTTTAACGGTTTAAAACGCGATATATTAGATAAACTTATTTGGAAATGATTATTAACTTCGCCGTGGTCACGAGGAGACCCACGAGGCTGCTGCAAAGCATCCGAAACGTCGGGCCGAAGTTAAAAATAATTTCCAAATAAGTTTGACTAATATATCGCGTTTTAAACCGTCAAAGTGTTTTATTTAAATGTGTACTACTCGCGTAAACTATAGACAGTATATATTTCTGTTTTCAACGCTATCAGGAACAAAGTAGATCGCCCTTGGTAAGATATTTCGTTATTCCACAGATTAAAAAATGCGGTTTGTTTGACAAAATGTTCGAAAAGAGTACATATACATTTTAATAACTGTAGTTAGATTTCTATGTATGTTATATAAATGTAGACTACAAAAGATCTTATCGGACCCCAAAGTGGTGGGGGTGTAAAAAATTTCTACCTCCATCTGTTTTTTATATATTTTTATGAGAGAGGACAGAAAAAACATGGGTTTGCGCATCTCAACAATGCGCTGTCGACCTTTTTGGATTTAGCATTTTCGGAAATCCACAGATTAAAACCGCGTTTGAACTTGACGGCCTTTCCATCTGTGGATGTGGATGTGGACACCAAGGGAGTCATAGTAAATACACAATTATTTAGTTTTTACAGTAGAGAGGCGCTCAAAGTATTTTATCTTTCTAAAAAACCTTTAACGGGCTAAAACGCAAACAATATTTATTGACTGATTTACAATTTCTTTTTTTAACTACAGCTCAACGTTTCAGACGCTTTTTAGAAGGCGTGCTCACGGGGGGCGTCATTATAATAAATTGTACATCATTGATCTAATATATTTCGCGTTTTAAACCGGTAAAAGTATACTAAGTACCAAAAAACATTTGAATGGCAGCTAGTTACACTAGTATTATGTTTGTTGTTGATTTTACTTTGCAGACGCGTGAGCCAGACAAGCAAGCTCTGATCGAGAGGATCGTGCAGCTGCAGCGCGCAGCAGCCAGGCGGGCGGAGCGCTGCGAGTTCCTCGAGGAGCACTCGAAACAGTTGACGAACGAATTGCGCGGGAAGTCGCGACTGCTGCGCCATCTGTTGGCGTCAATGCCGGCTGGTGCTGTTACTTCGCAGAACAGTGATAAGAATAAGGTGAGGGGAAGAGAGTATTTTCGGATGACTTGGATAATCGTTACCTTCAAATTGTGGCATTATAGCTGATATTTTAAAAGGGATAAACGAGTAAGATGACTCGAGCGAGATCCCAACCGCAACGAATGTGTATCTAATCAACTGAAAGTTTTTCGGACACTATTGGACATCTGGATATTAACGGGATGGTAGAAAATCAAAAATCGCCCAAACAAAGACGTGAAGTATAATCGCGTCTCGATTTCAGTCGGTGGATTTCGAATATAGAAAGCCAAAACTAGGCCGACAGTGCATATGGCTGGCCTATTTCAAGTTCCCTTAGGCGAAGTTCATTATTGTCTTTCCCTCTCCATTATTGAAAATATACCCATTTTAAAAATTATTTCTATTCGAAAAGGTTATAACAAACTATAAAAACAAAAAAAAAGTATTGAAGCTAGTGGGTACCCGTTTTGTCTGTCTACCTTCAGAAATTGTTTGCCCTATGTCCCACGCAGGGACATCGACATTCTTTATACACTGTAGTAATCGCTTCCTTTTTTCACGCTCGCTAAAGCTAATACGGAAACTGTCAAAGGTATATATTATAACAGTAGTGTGTTTGTTTTTATTTTTTTTTATTTATTAAGTATAGTTGTCAAAAATACATAATAATTATTATTATCTGTCTATTATAGGATGATAATTTTGTTAAATCGACTGTCACTAACACATTGTTACCACCATTGCATATTAAAACATTTGTGATTTGTTGTTGCAAGTTTCGTTGATATATTTGCGTTTAAAACCGTTAAATAGAGTTTTGACATCCTATATTAGATAATGTTTTGTGTGTGTAGTTATAGCTAGCTAAGGAAAAACTAGAAGTTTTTGTAGAAAACATATCTTAAAATCGAAGCTACAAGCACATGCTATACTTTTCTAACGCATGTATTTTTTGCCTCTAGAAAGAGATAGCGCGCCTGGGGGGCGGAGCCATGGCCGCCGTCTGGGGTGGGGATCCGAACGGAATAACTCTAGAATTGTCTCTCGAGATCAATAAGAAGCTGCAAGCGGTTCTCGAAGACACGATCCTTAAGAACATCACTCTAAAGGTATTTATATGTACAAATATCTAATGGCTAATAATTAACTGGTCATGCGTCGATCCCCACCAGGTCCTACATGCGTCTAATATTTAATTTATATTATATGAGAAGTGGGAATTTAGAAAATCCGTCCGGGCCGCGAACCACCGTTCACAGATAAAAAGCCGTGAAGCTTGAGGCGTTACGGTTTCACTGTGTAGATTTCCGAATATCCAAAGCCGAAATAGGCCGCCTGCGCATCTTGTGTAAATGTTATATGGCTGCGGTGTTTCACCTTCCATCAAGTGAACTTTTGTCTGTCCTCTATCATAAAAAAGGAATGTGTGAATAAAATACTGTCTATAGTTAACGGGAGTAGTACACATTTAAATAAAACACTTTAACGGTTTAAAACGCGATGTATTAGTTAAACGCAGTCAGTCTCCCCGTGACCACGGCTGCTGCAAAGCATCCGAAACGTCGGGCCAAAGTTAAAAATCATTTTCAAATAAGTTTAACCAATATATCGCGTTTTAAACCGTTAAAGTGTTTTATTTAAATGTGTGAATAAGATATATTTTAGATTAAGTTTAGAAAGAAACTAATAATTCTCTTTCAGAGCAACTTTAGTTTGGTTATTTTTCGATTTAATATTTTTCAAGTAAAGAGACATTTAACTGCTTTTAAGCACACCACAAAAATACTTTTATAACTTCATATCGCAGAAAAAACTGTATAAAATTAGTTTTTTTTTAAACCAACACGAAAATAATATTGTCATACATTTTAATTAATAATTCTCTCGTCTCTTCTTTCCAGGAAAACATCGACACCCTCGGAGAAGAGATATCGAGGTTAAAACAGAGAGACACAAAGTAGTGTTCAAGGCAATAAAACATTATCGTATTTGAGACGTGTCGTTCATACAAAGTTGCATTCCAAAATTATGATTATAAAATGTCTAATTTAGATTTTTAGACGGAAGGTTTGGATTCTTCTGTCTAAAAATCTAAATTAGTTAGCTAGTCTTCTCTTAAAAAAAATATCATTTGGACGGAAAAACCCGAAGGATTTATGTATATTTTACCTGTACAATATTATCTTTGTAAATGCATAAATAGTTGTTTAGTTATAAATTGTGCAAGACTCTTAGGCCATTATTAGCACGTTAATGTTTGGTCAAAAAAGACCAACAATATTTGTAAATCAGTCTTAATGGTAGTTTGTTTCACATATTATACATTTATTTTATCGTCAAGTACCTGATAATTACGTAAATTTTATAGTTTATTCGAGTACACATTTAAATAAAACACGTTTAACGGATTAAAACGCGAAATATTTCAGTTGAATGATTTTTATTCATTGTATTGTGTTCTTCCCATGACCACGGCCGCAGTGGAACATTCGAATCGTCGGGCTGTAGTTAGATTAAATAAAAAGTAAGTTAACTAATATATTTCGCGTTTTAAACCGTCTTTTTTGAGCTATAATGAATTAACCGAACAAATTAATACATTTAAATATTATATGTATCTTTAATAAGTCTTAATTTTAGACACTAAATTCAAGCATCTACTTATATACATATCTGTAGTCGGCGAGTGTACATAATATAAAACATCTTTAACAGCTTAAAACGTGAAATCTAATTTTTTATTCATTTTCAAATACGACACGACGTTTCAGATTTTTTGCGCTAGCCAATAGATGAATTTACTATTATAATTTTTCGCGTTTTGAACAGTTAAAAGTGCTTCATAAATGAAACTTCTACTAAAGTACACATTTGTTATAAACGTGGTTTTTCGGTATTTATACAAGTTCCACGTACAGCAAAATATTATCATTTCTGTCCCCCCCATGACCACGGCTGCTACAAAGCGTCCGAGCTTTCGAGCCATAATGAAAATAAAATAAGGATGACGTAATTAGTATATTTTGCGTTTAAAACCGTTAAAAGTGTTATTTAAAATATTAAATACTATAATAGTTTTCACATTTTATATTTGAATATTGTCTGAGCCATAATTAAAATAAAGTAAGAATGACGTAACTAGAATATGTCGCGTTTTGAACCGTTAAAAGTTGTTTAAAACATGTAGCTGCAAGTTAATTTGAATACTGTCGTTTTATGTAATGTTCTACGCGAGTAGTACACATTTAAATAAAACCTTTAACGGTTTGAAACGCGATATAAACCGTCTCCCTTACCCGGTTGCTGCAACCATCCCAAACGTGGGCCAAATTAATTACCAAGTACCTGATTATTACTTAAATTGTACAGTGTTTGTCTATAGTTTACGCGTGTAGCTTTTAAATAAAACAATATTTATGGTTCAAAACGTGAAATATATTAGTTTTTTTAAACAACTCCACGTTTAAAATTGCCTTCAGCAATCGTGGCCACACAGAAGTAATTTCGTCTGTAATGTAAAAGCCAAATATACGCTAGCGCCATCTGTTTTTACGAATTGATATTTGCAGAAACTGCCTGGGTTTTTACAGAACTTGCTGACAAAACAGTATGTCGCGTTTTAAACCGTTAAAACAGTTTTGTCTATATGGTTATTTTCGTTTCTCATGAACACGATATAAACTAAATTATAGTACTTAAAATATTTCCAAATAGAGGCTCAGAGTGTCGTTATGTATAATATGCTGGTATGGTAAATGTTTGATTTCGTCACATTTAGTATACACTTTTGTGAGCTAGAGTGGCCTAACTGCAATCTCATGACTTGAGTTATTTATATTTTCATAGTCTAAAAATGTTAATCTACAACAACATAGTGACCGACAATTGATAACATAATTCTTACACAAATAATAGTACAAATTAATTTTCGCCTTGTTAGGCCACTCTGCCTCTAATAGTGTCATATATACCACTAATTTATTGCTTGTAATCATCACGCTCCGTCAGCTATCATAGTAACATGGTGGGTCAAACTTCCCTATTACCTAGTAAAAGAGACCAGTTTTGGGAAATTAATAGGTTGAAAGATTAAAACATGTTTAGTTTCTAGCACATTCTATATATCATCAGATCGATTATATTAGCAATTAAAGCCGTCAAAATGTGTTTTATTTGCGCCAGGAGCTAAATATAACCGCTTAAAAGTATTATTTTACGAATTTGTCATATATGTAATGGAAATCTATTTATTTCTTGTCGTCTGTATGTTCGTTGATTGTTTAATATTATGGTATTAAATGGTATATGAATAAAATATATTTTCAAGTGGACTTTTTGTTATTTATTTTGCGGCATTTTTAAGTCAGAGCTAATACACGGGATCCTGGTAGAAAGCACAATAGTAGCGTATGGATAGGCATATTTGCAAAATTTCATCAAAATTGGCCGAGTAGTTTAGACGTTACACAGTAAATAAATGGTTCAATATTAGTAGTCGAGAAGTTGAAATTATCTAGCTCGGCCTCTGATGGGGTCCACAGAATCGTTTGGGACAGTAGTCCCAACGTAGCTCAGTGGACTCCCCTTTTAGATGCAGAACTGTGTTATTGTATTTTTTCTAAATACTGTTATAGTTTACGCGGAGTACAACACATTTAAATAAAACACTTTTAGTGCTTTAAAACGCGATATATTAGTGAAATTTATTGGAAATCATTTCCAAATAAGTTTAACTAATATATCGCGTTTTAAACCGTTAAAGTGTTTTATTTAAATGTATTTTATCTGTGGATATTAAATGTATGTTTGTTAAATATCTTGTGTTGCTTCGGAATCGATTTTATTCACTTCTTCACTTCAAGGCGGGCGTTAGGCAATTGAAAACACTTTTACAAACGTTATAAAACTTTATTTCGCTATACATAGACACTTTTAGTCGTTCGGGCAATCCAGTACCCTGGTCAGTCGAAGACGCGAAACTCGACGATGTCTCCCAGTTCCACGTCTCCATCGCTGTCGCTGCTGTGGTGTTCTGCCGCCTGAAAAAGATATTTTGCATTTTTCCATACTTGACATTTTTGGTAAACAAACACACAATTTACATATATAAATAAAATATGCTTTCTCTTAAAATTTTTAAAATATTTAGGTTCGTCGAAAATTTTTTGTTTGTCTGTCTGTTCGTCGTGATTCTACAGAGTGTTCAAAACTGTAAACAGGAAATTAAAATTTTATGCTAAAATTAATAAAGACCCTAAGGATGGGATTCGTATGCACAGATTAAAATTTCTTACTTTGACATATGGAGGATGTAAGAAGGTCCCACTCATGCACAATCACTGAAAAGCGTTAAACATATTAATAAGAGTAGTGCCCGATGTGGGGCATGGGGACAGGAGGGTCATTGTGAGACTATTTAACTCACGCTGCAAAAACCGCTAATACTTCCTACCATATTCAAACTCGGGATAGGATAACACTAGTATCTCACCCTTCTTCGCGTCCTCGCTCGTCTCCCCTCCCTCCTCTCGGGCTCGTTGTCGTCTCGCGACGACTCGCTGGAACTCTCTCCCTCCGCTAAGTTCATAACGTTGCGAAAAATGCTCGACGCTACTGAAAATAATTTAGTTAAACTTTTTTTATGACAGAGGTATATAACCCAATTGTGTAAATACTATCTGTGGTTTACGCGAGTAACACACATTTAAATAAAACACTTTTAACAGTTTAAATTGCAAAATATTAAAGTTAAACTAAAGCCGCGTCCTTTTACATCCGTTCAAAGTATCCAAAACGTCGGCCCGTAATTAAAATATATTGTAAATGTAGTTTACTAATATTTTTCACGTTTTAAACCGTTAAAGTATTATATTTGAATGCACATTTTGTCAATTATGAAAAAGAGAATAAGAATATTTCGTCGTAATTGGTAAATTACGTAACGGATTCGATCAACTTCCATAGCCACGCCCACCTCACTAAAACCGATAAGAGTGTAACAAAAACTTACATTCATCATCGTTGTCCGTCGCGGAATCGGAACCGTCATCGTTTTCGGAACCGCCCGCCAAGTCTTCTTCTTCCTCCTCCCCCCCAAAACCAACAATTTTTTTTTTCTTCAACCACCCCCCCCCCCCCCCCAAACCCCCCCCCCCCCCCCAACACCCCTCCCCGAGAACTCCCCCTTTAAAAAAAACCCTCCCCCGGTCCCAACCCCCATTTATATAAAACCCAACCCCCTGCTTTTTGCGGGTGGCCGTATTTAAATAATTACAAATTATTTATTACTTTACTCCTTGTAATCGACAATATTATATTTTGCGTTTAAACTTATACTAGCCATTAAACATACATACTGCCTACAAATTTGATCGTACCATAGTAGTACGACATTTCGGGTAAGTGGGGGGAGTGGGGGGGGAGGTGGGGTAGGGGGGGGGGTGTGGGGTAGGTAGGGGAAGTGGGGGGAGGGGGAAGGTTCCTGCGAACTTTTCCTGTTTACAAAACCAAACATCCTCACCGCGTCATCGTCGTGGTCCCTCTTGCGGCCGACATCGTAGATCTTCACGCACGACTCGGAGACCTGCTCAAAATCGCCCAGGTTCTCCACAACGGAGATCTGTGTCCCGTAGCGCGACACGCTCAGCGCGTAGATGTTGCGTTTCACGTCCACGGTCGCTGTAAGCATATGTTATGTCAGAGGGGGACAGACAAGCTTGGGGGGTTCGCTTTATGGTGGGTGAAATACCTAAGCGACACAACACCTAAATGAGATGAGCTGTCGACCTTTTCGCTTTGGGTTTGCGAAAACCCAGGCTTAACAGCTTTTCTGTGAACAATATTCTTTATACGGTAGCTCCAGCTGACGTGTTTCAGAAAATTAAACATTGATATTAGAAATACATTGGACCTGGTAGGCGTCGAACCCACAACCAAGCGTACGTTGTTATCATTCGAAGCTCCATGGTTATCCATGGTTATCCATTCATGAGTTCATTATACAACGGTCCAAGCTAAATAAAAGACTGAAGTGCCAAACTAAGTGGAGTGGTGGGTCGAACCCCTGTTAAACCGTCTTTCCTACGGAGCGAACTAAGTGCATCAATGGGAAATTCATAGGTTTAACCTCTCTCTTTAAAAAGAGAACGATCGAACGCGTTCAAATTCAAAATAAATTCAAATTTGGAACTCACCTATGCTAGAGTAGTCCGCCGCGCAAAGTGTTTTAAAACTGGTATCGAACTGACTGCGATCCTCCGAGTCTTGGTCTGAGCACACGGCGTAGAGCGCTGTGCACGCCGGGTTAAATATCACCTACAAAACCATACAAATTAAACTATTATACATTCTAACAAGGATATATATCGCGGAAGGGACTCGAACCTGTTACTGAGCTAATCGTTTAATGCTCCTTACGTAATATCTTTCAATCCGGTATTTTCAGGAGGAGGGACCATTTAAACACTCAGTTAAAAGGCAAAATATAGACGTTCAACTAGTATATTATCATTAACTCGTTTAATCCATAAATACATGCAGATCAGGAGGGGGGTTTCCCCATGGGACTTGACGATGCCGTTTCAATCTGGTGGACAGATTGAATCGATAAGACTTCACGGCTTTCAATCGGAATTTCCGTATTAATACCACCGATGAAACATCCAGATTTCAGATAAACTATAAATTGATTTGAAACATGACCTTTAGACTAAGTTGAATTAAAGAACATACATACATACACATAATTCCTATATAACATTTATATAAACATTTTTTTTTAAATTGTAATTAATATAGCGTTGTCTTCCTCCCACAATCTCTTAAAAAGAATAAGGACAGAAAACGGTCAGGGGGCGTCAACCTTTTTCCACTATGACGATACTATTACAAACCTCGGATTTGTCCAACGCAGGCACTGTTCGTAGTAGATGGAACGTCCTTAGGTCCCACACTTCTGTATTTGATATAACCTGAAAAGAAATAGAGACAAAACTTTGCGTCAATATTACGATAATAAAAAATAATAGTTTTTTTTTTCTTTACACCAACACAATCTTAGCAAATAAAATAAATAATTAGTTTTTATTTATTCTAAATTATAGTATATTAGAAGTTTTGGATTTGTTTTCCGGGAAACAAAAGAGACAAAACTTTGAGTCAATATTAAGACATAGTAAAAAAAAAGTTTTTTTATCACACCAACACAATCATAGCAAATAAAATAAATAATTAGTTTTTATTTATTCCATTTTATGGTATTTTAGAACTGTCATTTTAAACAAGAAAAGAAAAACAGGTACGTAAAGGCACTTTAGGCTATATAAAATCACGCTGCGAACAATGAGAGCGAAAAAAACTGTGGAAAATGTGGGGAAAATCATTTATCTTTGACTGCTACCGTTATGTGCGCTGAAAAATCCGGTTCAGAAAACCAAAAAATATATAAAAAAAGAATGAATCCTCTTTAAATGATCTAAAAAAAATGTCTTCGACTTCGAAAGTAAGCCTAGTCTAGTAATATTACTATTTTTTTATATGGACGATAAATAGTTTTCCCCGTTTCTCCCCCATTTCCCACTGTTTTTTTTTCGCTCCTATTAGTCGCGGCGTGATGTTTTATAGCCTTAGGCCATCCTCTGTAAATGCTGTGACCAACACAAACATACTTCCTGTGATTAGCGCGTTCAAACAAACTCTTCAGCATTATATTTTAGTATAGATTATAAAATAATTACCTCCAAACCATTTGGATGAAAAACTCCGCTGTGCGTCTGATTCAATTTGTCGAATTTTCTGATCTCCTTGCCTGAATTTACATCCCAAAGAACGCCATCTGTATTTAAACAATGTAATCACTTAAATCACCATATTTTAAATAGTAAATATGTAAAATATAAACTTAGTTTAATGGCCTATCATAGGACACACAAATTTTTGCGTCCGTTACACTAACGAATCGCATTTAGATGCATGTAAATGATCCTAATACATCCCCAGCCGATAAATTATCATATTAAACGAAATAACGGTTCAAAACGTGAAATATAGGTCGCTGATCGTAGTTCAAAACTACTCGAGTCGTTTGTTTATGTCTTAGTTTTGTTTAGTATGTACTACTCAAATAAAGTCTTTTAAAAGATGAAATTTCGCCATATACGAAATAAACATTTAATAGTCAAAACTAGTTAATAGAGCGTTATCTCTTTTCCACAATTTCGTAAATACAAAGTAGCCAAAAACGTCTACTGATAAAAACCAACAGTTTTTATTAACTATTTTTACTATATTTAAATAAAACACTAACGGTTTAAAACGTGATATATTAGTTAAACTTATTTGAAAATGAATTTTTTACTTCGGCCCGATGCTTTCGGATGCTTTGCAGCAGTCGTGGTCACGGCAAAGCCAATCCAAAATCCAAACTATAGACAGTGATTATTTTTCACATAATATTTATATTTTTTTTTTTTTTAACTCACTTTAGTATGCACTGGATAAACTTTCTACACACCATAAAATTACATATTGTATTGAGTTAAACGAAATATTAAAGCGACATCTCTTTCCCACAATCGCCTAAATAGAAAGAGACAAAACTCACCTATAAACTATTGGTTTTGACCAATTTTTAATAAGAAGAAGAAAAAGAAATTAATTATAAATTACATTAATATGAAAGTAAAATACAAAACTACCGCTATACGTAACGGGGAGCGCTCACGGTAAAATTTAAACTCACCACATACATTAAACTATGTTCTTCCCCGAGAACCATGATGTGGGGGATCTACATTACTTTTGATTTTTTTTAAACAAGTTTAACTAATAATTCGTGTTTTAAACCGTTAAAGTGATTTATTGAAATGTGTACTAATACCGTAATCTCCAGACAGTATTTTTCACAACCTGTCTACGACTCAAAGTCAAAACTGAATGGTGGTATCAAGTACAGTGCTCTCCAAACTTTGGCCGTAAGACGAGGTTGGAGAAGGCAAAAAGCAGGTATCAGTTGCGAGAAAGTGGGTGTGCGGGTGGGGGACTCGACTTTTTGCGTAAAATTGATAGCACCATGCGCAAGATGGCGGTAGTACCTGATAGAACGAGTTCATCTGTAGGATTGAAGGTCGCCCTATTCTTCGCGTATTGGTTGCTCAAACTGGGATTGAGCGTGAGCAGCTCTCGCCCGGTCTGAGTGTCGAAGATCGTCGCCACCTCCCCCTTGGTCCCGATGATCCGGTCGTCTGTCATTTTCGAAAATTCCACGTACTCCTCGTTCTCTAGTTGAAAGCTGGAAATATAATATCCGATGGACATATAATAATCGAATTGACAAAGCCAAAATAGGCCGACCGCACATCTTATTTGCTGAAATCCCGTTACTTGTGGGGCAAGAGTATTTCTTTGCTTGCTTTCAGTCAACTTTTGACCGCTCGTTTGTGCAATGGAAACATGCATTGCGTCCGCCCCATGCCCCACACGAACGTGATACCCCACTTTTTACCTTTGTTCAAACTCCTTCATATGCCACAATGCAGACAGAGTTCTCCACGAAGTTGAAGATGAAGCTAGTAGTAAGAGACCGTCTCTGCTCGCCTAAAAAGAGAAGAAAGAGAAGTTCAACGCTCGTCGTACCAAAACTGCTTTGTACTAAAGAACATTCTTTATTAGTTTAAATATAAGTCTTCCAGAGCAAAAGAGGGTCGACAGCGCGTCTTGTTTAATTGTTATATGGCTGATGTATTTCATATAAAAACAACTGTTTTTAGTTTTAAAGAAGATGGCGCCAGCAGAGCAAAGTTAACCCTTTAAAGGATGCAACACTATAGCGGGAACTGGGACATTAATGGCCAGCCTGTCGTAGGCTCGAATACCGCCTGTGTCATACTTTTATACTGCCAAAATTTATTTTTCTTGTTACAATTACCTCATTTTTAACGGCTATAAAAATAAAATTTACACCAGTCTTAGTACAATACGCTGAATAAGAACCTGAAGATTTTTAACCCGTCAAAAAGTGTTCTATTACAACTTTCAACAAATTCTGCATTAAATTAAAAATACGTTAACTAATATATTTCACGATTTAAACTGTTAAAGGGTTTATTATATATGTACTACTCGAGTAAACTAGGGACAAGACTTTAAGGGTTCACAATTCAATCAATATTATTTAACCACCGCCCGAACTTTGTAGTAATCGTGGCGAACGTGACTAAAAAAACCACGTTCTAAACCGTTAAAAGTGATTTATTTTAACATACCTGCATATGATATATGTAGGAATCGTGTACTTGATACGAGTTTTCTTCAGCCCCGCTAAATAAGTTGAATATCCTAATGTCGCCAGATGAAGTAGCCGCTAGCAGCTTTTGTTGCGTGGGCTGAAAATTATTAATACGTGAGTGAGATACATAAAAAGCGACATAGGCCGACAGTGCATTTCGTTTATATGTTATATGAGGTATTTGAACTTCTATTAAGTGAACCGCAATTCTTGTTTGTCCACCTCCAAAAATTCGGAGATACATACAGAGTCAGATCAAAGTACGATATCAAAGCCAAAATAGGCGGTCAGCACATCTTGTTTAGATGTTATATATCGAAGCCCATGCCTATCTGTCGTCCTCTAGAAATGTATCATTAGCTGTGGAATTGAGATCGTTATGACCGGTGTGTCTTAGATCTCGATATTCCCAGATATCCACACGAGGTCCAACATTTAAATAAAACAAACGGTTTAAAACGCGAAGTTAAACTTGTTTGAAATTTATTTTTATCATTTCAACTAATATACATGGAGTTTTAAACCGTTAAGTGCTTTTTAAAGTCCAACATCCAATTATAAATTTATTTGAAACATGCTGGCCCCGATGGGGATCGAACCCACACGAGCTCGTTCTTAAATAAAGCGCACCCCAAGTTGTTTTCGAATCCCGGGGAAACAAAAAATTGTTTCGATCGGGCAGGGCAAAGTAGTCTGATCAACTACTTGCCCCCTTAAAAAGTACGGATCAGTGAAACTGACACAGAAATGTGTTCGCCCCATGCCCCACGAGGGGGGAACGGGATTTCACACACATACACATGCTTGTCCATCCTCGAACTGTCATCACAAAATGACCTACATGAAATATCGTGTGCGTGAAGTAAGCATCGTCATCTGTCAGCCGAAGTGTCCTGGCGGCCGCGAAGTGGGAGTGGGCGAAGTTGGCATGCGCCCGGCATGACGTCGTTGTTCCAAGTTCCCGGCGGATGACGCGTGCGCACGAATTTACGGGTTCCGCGTACCGATCGCCGATGGACGCTAGGCCGCCGGACCGCGGCTCCGGACACTGGTGGGGCCTGAGTGGTGGGGCGTAGATTAATATCTATACTAATATTGTAAAGCTGAAGAGTTAGAGAGACCTTTTATCGAAGATGGCTAAAACATCAGGCTGGGACCAATAGAAACGAATAAAATGGTGGAAAAAGGGGGGGGATCGTTCTCTATAGTAATATTATAAAGCTGAGTTTGTTTGGATGTTCATTGTCGTGTTGGTTAGACCATTTATCGAAAATGGCTATAAAACAGGCTGCGACCAATAGGTGCGAAGATATAGTGGGAAATGTGGAAAAAATGGGGAAAAAAATTCCCCGTTTTTTCCGGTTGGAGATACGCAAAAAATATGTATGAAACAATATTTTCTCATTAAATGATTTTAAAAAATTTCAGCGACTGTATAAGTCTATCTTTTAAGATGAACTCACTAGAACTGTTTAAATATGGTAAAAGAACGTCTGCCAGATCAGACAGTCCGATATACAATCGAGTTTTGACCGAAAATGAAGTATACAGACTTCTGATGATATTAAAAAAAACAACTTGTTGGACAATGGATAATAAATAATTCTAGGTCGTAGGTGTGATTCGACTATCTGTTTTAAATAAAACATTTTTACTTGTTTACAACGCGAAAAAATTTATTAACTAAGGCCAGATGCTTCGCAACAGTAGTTACGGAGGGAACCTGGGAATAATGTGTAATAAATAGGTATTTTAATGTCCACAAATGAATACACAGACGGGATTCGAACCAACCCACCCATTCATTGTAACGTTACGCTACAAAGATTTTTTAAATCATAGATACCTGTGGAATTCAAAGGGTTTAATAATGTTTGTAAACTTTATTAATTTTTACATGTTATTGCACACAAAGGCACTGTATAATTTAAAAATCGAAAATAAATTTAAAAAAAAATCCATTTTTAAATTATAAGGTTTCATAATAGTCAAGTCTGGATTCCGCCGTTTCCACTTACTCAAAAAGATTAAACTGCGGGCAGGTAACGACCGGGTTCTTGCATAGTGCGTGCTGGTTGTACAGATATTCCGTGATGATGGAGTGCAGTGTGACCCGCGGGGGGGAGGGGGCACGCTCCGCGCCCCCAATGCTCAACTGCTTCTGAAGTGAACGCTTGTATTCTGAACCAGGTGTGCTTGCGCCCACGACGCTGGTGGACAACGATTGGTTTTGGACTTTTCTAAAAAAAGGAGATATTGATTGTCTACATAAAATGTAATATTTTTCACATGTGGCACATGGTGGCATTATATACATTAAAAAGGAAAGATGCATTTATAAATCGGTTAAAACACGATGAAGTGTAGGACTCGGTAGCTCAGTTGGTTAGAGCAACACGGAACGCTGTGGATGCCGGTTCAAGTCTTGCTCGTGTCGTACGGTTTTTTCAATCTTCCATCAATTTTTAATTTAAGATTGCGAACGCGTTCATGGTTACAAAATATATTAGATAAAATGGTTAGAACAGGATATTAATGATTCGTTGGGTTTTTCCTTTTAATATATTTCTACTTAAACTTAAATATTATAATTAAATAAAACACTTTAACAATTTAAAACGCGATATATTAGTTAAACTTATTTGAAAATGATTTTTAACTTCGGCCCGAAGTTTCGGATGCAAATAAGTTTAGCTAATATATCGCGTTTTAAACCGTTAAAGTGTTTTATTTAAATATGTACTACTCGCGTAAACTATAGACAGTATTAAAATATTATAAGATTATTATTGTTATTAATATTCGAATGCTTAAGCAAATTATTTTTTGTGTGTAACTTTTGACCCTTGACAATTCGAACCTCTGGTTTCGTTTTAATATTACGTCAGCACTATGTACGGCACGAGGGGTAAACAAACACTAAATACAACAAATAGCGACTTACCTAACTTTAATAACGTTTGGCGGCATCGGACTGTCTTCATTATTAATGTGAGAATGATCCAAGCTGTCCCGATGTAATGACGTGCTGCTGCTGGTCCGAGATACTGACATACGCGTCTGGAAGGTTGAAAGCGACTTTAAAGGTGGTCCTTCGAACCGGATTTCTTTTGTTTATTAGGAGGACAGATAAGCACGGGAGTCTCTTAGGCAAGGTCAAATATACTATATAGAATTACATCCTAACAAGGTATTATGAGATTAGTACATTTAGAAATTAACAGCCTAAATGTGATTTTACTTTATGGCTTTTTATGGAGGTTTGCAAAAACAAATGTTGATGTCCAAAATAACTAATTTACGCGGACTAAGTCGCTGGTACAGCCAGTGTAAATATACACGTAACTCATATTCACGTCTTCTACTATATCTAGCCACGTAACATGTCCCAAGGCCTAAAATACTCACTCTAACAGGTGTGGAAGGTGTGTAAACGGGAGGAGGTGGGGGCGCGGGCACCGGGCACGGACACGGCAGTCCCGCCTCCCGGATCAGCGTCGACGCTGCCTCATTCAAACCGCGGTCAGACAAATGGCGAACCATCAGCTGAAGGAGCTGCCGTTCGTTGTAGTTGATCTTCGTTTGAGCGACCACATTCGCCTATAAAACAAAGTAGCAACATTTTTTAATGAGTACAGACAAGCACCTGGTTCACTTGATGGAAGACGTGGTTGACTAAATATATTGTCATTTGAAAGCACACACAGGTTAGCAGAGAAAATAACAATGATAACATACTAGACTAGAAATAGTAGATAACTAGCGAAAGAGGACTTTCAGTATAAGAAACATAATTATAAACCAAACACTTGAGAGTAAAACGCTTCGCAAATCCAGATTTGTAAATATGTATATAGAAAAGTTCTTGCCAAAACCAGGAGGAAGTTAATTATATATATAAATAAAGAACAATTACTTTACTTATTAAATACAACCATCGTCAGCGGAGCGGAGCATCGTCATCGTCAGCCAGAAAATCGGCATCGTCAGCGGTCCGTGCTGTCGATGCCGATTTTCGTTTTTTTAAGTATACAGTGCCTTCATGTGCAATAACATGTGAAAAATATTAAAGTTTTCAAACAACCATATATTTTAATCTTTTGGTAGTATTTAACTTTGGTTTTAAACATCCATCTTTAAATCATCTTAAAATTGCATAAGATACTATCCTGGGGCTAAAAACCCGCAATAATAATAAATGGCCCCATAGTGCCCCCCACTTTCATCCCTTATCTCTCACCCTATGTATGTTAGCCAGCGAGGTCTCGAACTCCGCACCTTTGTGCTTGCTCTTGCCAGAGACTCGTTCCAGCAGTTCCAGAGCATACTTCTGGAACATGACGTGCTCTTGACGTTTCTCTTGAAGGATCGGGTCGCGCATAAGTACTGGAAAATATATCATAATTACTGTCTTAATATTTATAAGAAACATTTCTTTGATAAGCCGTTAACCTATAATAAAGTGAGACCCGCTCTCTAGGGCCACATCGGTATATTATACATTCGTTAAAACGTAAAATTGATCTCGTAACGTACTTTATCGGATCGTTATTATTTTGGAGTAAAAAATATATATATTTCACGTTTTACCGTTAAAACTATATATATATAATTGTTAGTTAAAAATATGTCAATATCTTTCAGTAGTCACCTTGTATTTGAGACGTGGTGAATAGTGGTAGCTTCGAGATGATCTGCCTAACCGTGGAACATCGCGCGAGACCACAGAGGGCCCGACAGGCCAAACCCCTTATTCTATCGGCGTCCGTTATTGGCGATTTGGTCATCATCAGTGATAAAAGAACCTGGGTATCGAGACACGAATTAAAATTGCATTACCTTATGAAAAAAAGAAACAGTTCACAAGGTGGAGGGGTGGGGAGAAGAGGCGGTGACAATATGAGACAAAGTTAACTAATGATGAAGCTTAGTTTATAAAGAAGTGTGTATGAACGAGAGAGGAAGACAAATTCTCTAACGACAGAGGAGGAGGGAGTAAGAAAGAAGGAATTGATTGTGAAACTTAACGAAACAATGAATTTGATGCTGATGTAAATTTTATCTCTGTATATTAAAATATTTTTTTTTTATCAATGTCTCTTACTACCAAAGTATTAATGACAGCCTTGGTTTCTGGACTTGTCATATTGAAAGAACTTACCATAATTCCATTGTTAGTTCTAACACTCTCCCACACCTTCTGGATAATATCTTCGAATGACTTCATCAACGTCTTCTTCCTGAAACCCGCTATCGAGATTCGCCCCGTTAAAATTCCAGCCTGAAAAAATAATTGCGGAAATGTCTTACAATGAAATAAAACCACTTTAACGGTTTAAATGGGAAATTAGTTAAACATATTTATAAATTATTTTAACCACGGCCCGACATTGCGGTCGACGGTCCTCGTGTCGACTTTCTATGGTGTTTTTGGAGGCCACTGTTAGTCAGTTCTACAAGGAACAGATGGCGCTAGCATAGCAGTTTGACATAAGAGACAGTCTTCATCCTAAGTCCCCCCGTGACCACGGCTAAATTATGAATGAATCCAGAGTGCTACTTACCCTATGTAAAGGTGCACACACACAGTTGACTAGAACATTAAGAGCTGCCTTTTGTACCTCCGGCTCGACGACAATGTCGCCATCCGCAGCGCCTGCGCAGGTGTATATTTTTAAACTTAATAGATCGCGCAAAGCGCTAGCAGAATGTATATTTGCAATATATTAATATTAAATAGTTATAAAGAATTAGTTAGAGTATCAGGGTTTTGCGGCCAGTAGCATTTTTCTACTTGTTTTCTGACTTTGTTGATTTTATTTGCCCTAACTACCCCGCAAAAAAAGCAATATTATATATAAAATGTATCTATGCTTCACATTACTTAGAAATTTAGATCGCTAAACCACGCCCATCCCAACACACGGTGACGCCCACTTCTGGAAAACACTAGATACTCACCCAATACAATACTGATTCCAGCAGTTAGTTCTGCCTCACGCATATTGATCTTTTCAGTTAGAAGCAATTGTACGCGAGGCGAGACACAGCACACGGAGACCACATCTAAAGCTGACCTCACAGTTTCTGCCCTGGAAAAAAAAAACAATATGTATGTTTAAATAGGTAACCCGAAAGTATATTTTTAGCACAATTAAATCAGTAAGTCTTAACCGCGACCCGACGTTTGGGATGAATTGTCATAGCTATGGGTCACGGGGAACTTATAGTGGTTATTTTTTATGTAGTACACAGTGAAAAAGTGACTTACAAAAGGAGGTGATGAAAGGAAGGTGAACCCTTTAGGTTGCGTATATTTTTTAAATCATATTAATTACTAGCTGTGTCAGCGACTTTGTCCGCGAGAATCGTTAATTTTGGGCATCCAAATTCGTTTTTACAAACCCCTTCATTCATTTAAAGAGGAATCATACAGCCTAAGCCCATAGTCTCGATAAATGCTCTACCTACACAAAAATGATTTTTCGACTCGAACCAGTAGTTCCTGAGATTAGCGCGTTCAAACAAACAAACGAACTTTTCAGCTTTATATATTAGTATATATTATGTCGATGAAATAATAATTGTATAATCGATAACAGTTTTTGTAGAAAGGAGCAATATTTCCCTTGATATAACATTTTAACTTTGACGTCAGGCACACCATCCATCTTTAGTCACCCAGTGACCATGGCTGCTGCAGAGCATCCGAAGCGTCGGGAAGAAGTTAAAATAATTTTCAAATAAATTTAACTAATATATATCGTGTTTTAAACCGCTAAAGTGTTTTATTTAATACAACATACCTCCCGTTGAAATTCCAGTCATAAGCGTAGGCAACGACCTGCAACAACAGCGTGATTCCGCCCAACTCGACAAGTTCGTCGACAGGTGGCCACCGTGACCACGGAGCGTTTTGCACCAGCTCTATTTGGTCTTGAATCTCTTCGGGTAGCGACTTCGATGCCTGGAAAGGACAAATTCGAATACTTCAATATTTTTACTTGTTATTGCATGTGCTGTAGATGCCGGTTCAAGTCCTGTTCGTGTCGACCTTTTTTTTTCCTTTGTATTGTCTTTTTTAACGATATAGGACGACAGATGGGCGTACGGTTTGTTTTAATGGTAAATGAAATAGCCTAGCCATATAACATTTAAACAAGATGTGTTGTCGACCTATTTTGGCTTTAAATGTGAAAGTCCGTTTCCCCCTCGTGGGGCATGGGGCGAACATATTTCCGTGTCCGTTTCATTGATCCGTTCTTTTAACGGGCGAGTAGTGGATCAGACTTCTGTGCCCTGCCCGGCCGAAACAGTTCTTTTTGTTTCCCTGGTATTTGAACCCAGGACCTCTCGCGCTCAACGCAATACGTTTAACCATTGGGCTAGAGAGGCCGTTTTGGCTTTAGATTTTCGGAAATTCACAGAAATAAACTTAGAGAATGAATATACTTTGTTATGACACAGGTCAGAAAGGGTAATGCATATAGTTGACCATAAAATGTGCTGTCGGCCTGTTATTTGGCTTCGACACTCAGAAACTAATAGACTGATACTAAACATGTGTTAGCAAAACTTTAAATATATTTATTAACACGCTGCACCTGCCGAAATCGCCCCACACACCATTGGACCAAGGGTCTTATCAAAATAATTACAAATAAATGTATACAAATACCTTGTAAGGCAGTGGCTCTGTTATATTGTCTCCCTGTTGCCTAGAAACGACGGCCGCACGAATTCTTAAATGGGCTTCAAAGTATCTGTAAAACGACCGCGACAAAAATCAAAACCAATTATGAAGTTATTTTGAAAAAAGGCCGAGATTTAATTAAATAATCAAGCTGTTTGTTTAATTTGCGTGACACATCCTACAAACATCCGTATGCAAGAGAGCGGGAAAACAAAAACATAGAGATTTTACATGTACTACCAACATAAGACAAGAAAAGTGAACAGTCCCGTCAACATTAATCAATTATTTTATTATGACATTGCACAGATTATCTAACAGAAAATCATTTATTCATGAAGGCAAGTCCTTTATTGTGAAAATAGTTCTCTAAAATTTCCTTTTTTTCAATCCCAAATTAGAGAGTAAACGAAAAGAAGAAGAAAAACTCGCGTACTTTTGCCAAGTTTTTGTAACAATCCTTAACACTAATTGTATATCTTCTTCCTTGTTTGAGCGGGTTTTACAAAACCCCAAGCATTATTATCACTTTAATATAGATTTAGTGTTATGAATATTTACATTACACCAAAGATTTACAATGTAAATAGATTTTTCATTCGTATCCACATTGTCATAGCTATGGGTCATGGGAAACTTATAATAAGTTAATTTTTTTTGTAGTACACAAAAAAATGTAGGTTGCGTATATTTTTAAAATAATATTATTTTAAAAATCGAAAATAAATTGAAAAAAATTTTGTGATGGTTGGGATGTAGAGGTGTAGGCCGGTCAAGTCCTGCCCGAGTAGAAAATGTCATTTTCGATTTTTAAATTATATAGTGCCTTTATGTGCAATGTGAACACATGTAAAAATTAATGTTTTTAAAATAATATTATTTATTAACTAGCTGTGTCAACAACTTCGCCGTTTTAAAATATACGCATGCCGAATCTTTTGCTTATGTTAAATAATATTTTTTTGTATCTTATTGCAAGTAGACCCCCTGACATCCCCCACACAACAAACACTTGCGGTTGGATGCCTGTATTCATTGTAATTTTGTAATTCTAGTAGCTGACCCAACTAACAAGTACACACATATATGATTTAAGTTATTGATCATTAGTCTAGTGCGTCTGTATACGTTCAATATCTCAAATAATTCTTTTCAAGGTATTTCAACAAAATCCCTAGTGAAGTACAGACACTGTCAATAAATAAGTTAAAAAATAACTGCTTGAAAAGGATTATTATAACGTAAAACAATATTTAAATGATAACTATGCTTGGGATTTGAAAGCCAATCAAACAAAAAAGATGTACACATTAAGTGCGTAAGGAACTTGTTACAAAAACTCGACGATAAAAGGAGTCGCGGCGAGTTTCTTGCCAGTTCTTCTAGTTCGTTTTACGCCCCTAATTTGGGAACTGAGAGTTAATGTAAATTTAGAGTTTTTGATTTTCAAATGTATTGATGTGCATGAGAGCGTTTAGAACTAACCACTTACAGGAATAAATGTGTTTTTTTCTCGAAGATTTTTTAATTTTTTATCCACGCTATTCCAAGAACTTACCTCCTAAGGGCGACGCAGACGTGTCTGACGATCTGCCGCGCTGCAGAAGTCTCATCATCAGACACCCTGAGCTCTTCTTCATCGGAACCGAGGATCGGCAGGGTCGATATCACATTGTACAGCTTCCGTAGACCATCCTGAAGTATAGAATATTTTTCACATGTTATTGCACACGGTAGCTCTATTGGTTAAAGAAGCAGGAGCTGGTGCCGTAACATTTAATCGATTAAATAGCACTACATATATTAGTTAACATATTTACAGCTTATTTTACCTACGGCTCAATGTTTCCCCCCAAGACCATGGCTAAGCATCGGAAACGTAGTTAAAGTAAATTGTAAATAACTTAAATATTTTCCGTTTTAAACCTCTAAAATTGTTGTATTTAAATGTGTACCACACGCGCATACTAAAGACAATACCTCAAAATAATACATCAAAAGCGATACCTACATTGGAGAAAATCTAAAAAAATACTGTCTTGTTGTAGTTTACGCGAGCAGTACACACTTAAATAGAACGGTTGAAAACACGAAATATACCAGTTAGGTTGAGTAAAAAATAATTTTCACTAATATGTTTCGCGTTTTGAACCGTTAAAGTTTTATTTAAAAAGAAGTATAACACCACGTCACCATCTTATTTAAGCTTACCTGATTGTCGAACTCTTCTAAAATAACTCTAAACTGGAACGAGAGCCCGAAGAACATGGTCGCATGACATCTACCGGAGTCGTGGGAACATTCTAGCAACCACAGCGCGTACCTACCGGACAAATAACAATATAATTTACAAGTTGGTACATAACAAAAACAATGTAAGAGTATAAATAATTAACGGGTGGTTTCAGCCAATAAGTTTGCTGCAAATGCTGGTCAACTGAAAAATCTAGATATTAAATAGCTGGTAGGAATATCGAAATTCCACCAAATTCCACCATCAATAGATAAAAAATAAAGTTCAAAGTCAAAATAGGTCGACAGCGCAATTGCATAGAATTGTGAGCTCCGTGATTTTCTATCGTTATTCTCTATCATTCAAAAATCTATAAATGAGTTTGACAATCTATGAAATGAAAATTGCATATCTTAAAACATGTTTTTCACAATTCTGTAAGTGTGTAGGCATGTGACGTCATCATTACGTCACATGCCTACACATCAATACTTTTATAAATAATTATTGTGTGTCTGTAAATAGATCTATTGGAGCTTACCGTACGAGGTTAGCCAAGGTCTTCCTGGACAACATACAGACGCGCTCCATGGCATCTTCGCAGTAGGCCAGGTAGTACAGACATATCGACACGCCAGTAGCGGCAACTGATGGACGGGGCACTTCAAGAAATTTCTGTAGAAGGAAATTAATATTAATTATTATATTTTTATTTATTCTATTGTTACTCTGTCCTAACTAGACAATAAGTCTCAATCGACTATGCTGACTTTTGATCAGCGCTGGTGGGTAGGAATAACCAAAATTCTGTCCGGTTGACGAACTATCGTCCAAGCAAGTGTAACCGCGTTTCAGTTTCGTGTAGATTTCTAAATATCGAAAGTCAAAATAGGGCGACAGCCCATATGGTTTGAATGTTATATGTCTAGGATATTTCACCATACCTCAAGTGGCCACTATTGCTTGTCTGACATAAAAATAATATATAGTGTATTTTTTTTAACTTGGCATTTTTCATTTAGAAAACTACAATTTTACGATAAATTGCACAGATTGATATTTCTGTAATTTGACATTTACATAAGGATGGAATGTAAGCGAAGTCAACGACAATAGACACATTCACGTAAAAGTCACATTCATGCACGACCGCTGAAAAGCGTAACAACTTTTAATAATAATTACATAAAAATTAAAGGTCTTCATAAAAATTTATATTGAATATTGAAGTCGTTTGAAACATATTTCTTTATACCCGTATTATCTGTGGCAATAACTTCCCTCACTAAAAGATCGTCACTACTTCTCTATGGTTTAAAACCGGCCATATTTGTTGTGGTCCTTTGCCAAGTTAGAAAAAATAAACTAGAACGTATAATCCTATATTAGTCAAAGTAAAATGTATACCTGAAGTCCACCCGTGTTGATAAAGTCTATAGAGAACTTCTTGTGACAGAGCAGAGCTGCCAAATACTTCAGAGCTTCGAAGGCAAGTCTAGAATCTTTAGACTCTCGCACATTCAGGTACCCAAGTATAAGTCCTAAGGCGTCCTTCTCGAACACGTGAGACAGGAACTGAAAATGTATACATTAAAATATAATTTATACAAAAGTTCAACCCATATATTACGCGTTTTAAACCGATAAAGTGTTGTAATATTCGCATAAACAGACCGTATGTAATCAGTATTTAATAACTTATTCGAAATTGCGATTAACCGATTGTATTTTTTAATTATTTACTAAATAGATTTAACATTTTGATATATCACTTTTAACGGTTTAAACATGTAATATTGGTAGTTAAAATAAGTAGAAACAATAATTTACTTTTATTTGTAAGTAATACACATTAAAATAAAACACGATTAACGGTTTAAAACGCGATAATTTTAAAAACATTGATTTATTCGGACATGGACCAATGAAATTACTTTTTTAAAGTCTACTTTACACAATAAAATGCTAAAGTGCATTCTTATTAAAATTCGATTTTCCTGGTACATTCTTGTAACAAAAGATTCTTTAAATAAAACTGCTTCGACAGTTAAAAACGCGAATCAATGAGGCTTTACATAAGTAGTTGTCAGCTGGGGATCTGTTCTTGCATTGGTGTAAATAAGAAGCAAATTAGCAAAATTTTTTAACGACTACTTACTTCTTGGTACTCCCCCATTGGTGTTAAATACCTAAGAGTTAACATTTGTTTGGTAGCATCTGTGAGCGGGTGTATTTGAATATTACCTAAAAAATAAATCAATTTTATATGTCAAATACCCCTGAATTGGATCAATTTTTGGTTTATACTTTTAAAAAGTAGGGGGGGGGGGAAGGGTGTTGGCATAATAAACTATCATTTAAATAAAACACTATAACGATTTAAAACGCGATACATATTAAAATTATTTACACTACGACCCGTGGTCACCGCTGCCGAAAACCATCAGAAACGTTGGGCCGTAGTAGTAAGTGTTTTATTTAAATGTGTAGTACTCGAGTCTAACTATCAGTTAATAATTAAGCTTTTTAATTTTTACATTACCAGAAATTATCATAATTCAAATAGGACAAAGATATCTTATGTTAATACATAAATCCTACAACACAACCGCCATCTAGGTTATCGTAAAAAAATTAAATGCTATTTATAAAAGTAATGTCTCACCTATGACATAAGTCTCCATTTCGACCCAACTGGAGTTAGACGAAGTCTCATGTATGGGTACAGGTCGGAGTGAATTACCCGGCGGCGACCACAAGACAGCTAAAATTATATGCATTTTCATTATCATCTGGGTCGAAGGACCATTTTGTTAAGTAATCTATTTATCATAATTTTATATAAGTACTTGGAAATGCTTTGACGGGCTCGTTGGTTTAATAACAGCAATGTATGCCTAATAACCAACGGGTCATGGATTCGATCCTTACCGGGTATTTTTTTTTATCATTGAACAAACGCGAACTACTCACAGTTATGTTTGATAGGAGTACCAGGTGATTTTACAGGTGTGTTTGGAGGAACTTCTATGTCCATCACCTCTCCTCCACCATCATCAACTCCATCTGTTGAGCACATACAAATCGATTTTTGGAGCAAATTGCTATATGAGTCCACTAGAACTAAAACCGCAATTTTGTGACATGAGTTATTTATATTTTCACAGTATAAAAATGTTAATCTACAAGAGCACAGTGAACGAAAATTTTTGACATTATTCTTACGCAAATAATAGTGCAAATTTATTTTCGCCTTTTTTGCCTCCTTACTGAAAATCATGTTTTTTGACAAAGTCAAAAAGTCAAAAATAATTTATTAATGTAGGTAACTATGGACACTTATGAACGTATACGATATTAGGCCCCTCTGCCTCTAGCAGCCTTATATATACTAGAATACATTCGCAAACGGTCCTTCTTAAACGGTATTTCAAATACATAAGTTGCCAGACATATTTTTGTGTACGTTTTACTTTACCTTTTTGCACGCTCGTTGTTTCGCTGGAAGGTCCGTTACATTTGAGGTCACCGCTTTTTCTTTTGTCGAAATGCGCAAAGTGCCTAGTCTGATTTATTTGCTGGGCTTGGGGCTGAAATGTAAGAATAATGTATTTTTAATATATATTCTTGACAAACACATGCTTCACTGTTGAGAGATACAAAAACCTTAATGATGTATTTTGTTCTCTAGAAACTATCTATCCATTCTTTGTTCGAAACCAATGTATGGTTAATGTAATGTAATTCCTCTTATCGATTCTTACCAAAACATATTAATCGATAAAAATGTCCAGATTTAAATACTGTCTATAGTTTACGCGAGTAGTACACATTTAAATAAAACACTTTAACGGTTTAAAACGCGATATATTAGTTAAACTTCTTTGAAAATGATTTTTAACTTCGGCCCGACGTTTCGGATGCTTTGCAGCAGCCGTGGTCACGGGGAGACGTTTTCAAATAAGTTTACTTACTCGCGTTAACTATAGATTTTCAAATAAGTTTAACTAATATATCGCGTTTTAAACCGTTAAAGTGTTTTATTTAAATATGTCCAGATTTATTTCTAGGTTGTAAAAGGGGTATAGAAAATCCTTGAAGCGTAAATTGTCGCTTCGGTTTCAGACTATTAACGTTCGAACCCCCGAGATCACGTTACTCTTTCGGCTTCAGTTACTATCACTAATTTTTTTGTGGGGGTAGTCGAGTTGTACAAGCAAGACGGCTCTTCTTCTGTATCTCTATGTGAGAGAACCTGTAACCTTAGGTCAAAACACATTCTAAGAGTATTTTAAAAAACTTACCTTTTCTTCCAGGGACTTGTTCCTCAACTCGTGGAGCCGTTTCAACATGAGCGGTACCAGCATTGCGTTCAGATCTCTGAAAATAAAACATACCTTACATTTAATTAACAATCTATTTATGTTTATACGAGTTCGATTTCTGGGCAAATCATTGTTTCTATCGGGCACTGTAACCTGTATTGGTCATCTATTCTTAAACTTGATGACCTTAAGCCTGGGAGGGGTTTTGGGGGATTTATTATACAGCAAGTAATTTTACAGCACTCTATAATAATTAAAACCTGCCGCTCATTCATTTAATATATCTATACTTATGTGTAAATCTGAAGAGTTTGTTTGTTCGTTCGAACAAGTAAATCTCAGGGACATTGGAATTGAAAAAAATATTTTTATGTTTGTTAGACCTTGTATCGTGGAATTTTATAGGCTCACTATCACTATCTTAGCTCACTTTGTTCTGGTTCATTCATATTTACGATACCTAAAGTTCGTGGCTATCTCCTGCACCTCCATAGCGGCTGCCAGCAGACCCGTCGCATAGGATTGGAGAGGTTCTTGGGAATTTATCGCCCAGCTAACGAGACGGTGTATAAGGGATTCGTTATCCTGAAAAAACAAGAAAACTATTTTGTATACAAAGTATAATGTACAGCTAAGTAACTATAACTTTGATAGACTTTACATAAGTATTGTCTGTAGTTTACGCGAGGTGTATACATTGCAATAAATTATTTTTAACGGTTTAAAACGCAAAATTAGTCAACTTATTTTAACTAAGGCCTGTCGTTTTGGATGCTTTGCAGCAGCCACAGTTATGGAAGGACTGACGATGCCAAATACCAACTATCATTTGAATAATTACGTTTCATTTTATGAGTATTGTACTTTTGTTGTTTTTAGATTATTCTTTGTTTGATCTATAAGAGGTCCTCACGTCGGCCGAACACCCCCAAAAGACAATGATACACAATAAATTGTCTCATAGCATACCTGAAACACAACGCTCATTTCCAATCCGGGCATGAGGTCAAGCGTGAGTCTGCAAGCAGCTACATTCAGTTTGTGCACATCCCGTCCTATTATATTCTGGCGTGAGTAGTACGTATCACGTACATAGTCATTTACTAACTGAAAAACAACAGACACGGTTAACCAAATTATTACTTAGAAGATAAATAGGTAATAAAGTTACAGTATAATATGTAGGATATTATGTTCGGCGCCACCGCTGGTTGCAAGAAAAACTCATTTGCTTAGTTATTATTTAATATAAAAATACTACATTTAATTAATACCAAGTGTCTCTCTGTGTACGATGCATCAGGTCGACGCTTACTATAATTCTAAATGATTTCTTATACTAAAATGGGTACGGCAACAGTAGCATCACATAGTTGAAAATGAAATACCCACAAATACTAACATGGTGCACTTTTTACGTATACATTTGAACATACAGAAAACCTCCAAATAAAATTGAATGGGTTTTCTCTATGGAAAAAGTACATTTCCCCCTCGTGGGGCATGGGGCGAACCTATTTCTGTGTCCGTTTCACTGATCCGTTCTTTTAACCGGCAAGTAGTTGATCAGACTTCTGCGACCTGCCCGACCGAAACAATTTTATGTTTCCCTGGGACTCGAACTCAGGACCTCTTGCGCTTAACGCAATGCTAGGCAATATGTTTAACCATTTGGCTACAGAGGCAGTTTCTCTATGGATGCTGATTTGACATGTCTCCAAAAAATTATAGGTTTGTTTTAGAAACATTTTGCATCTAGTGGGACTCAAACCTTATGTTACAGGGCTGCTGTATTTCAGTCTCCAATAATTGAACCCATGGGTTCTCTCCAGTATCACAAACTTGACAACCAATATGCTGTCTATCGTTTACGCGAGTAGTACACATTTAAATAAAACACTATCGATTTAAAACGCGATATATTAGTTAAATTTATTTGAAATGATTTTTAACAATTAAAAAGTTTAACTAATATATCGCGTTTTAAACCGTTATAGTGTTTTTATTTAAACCAATATTCTATAAGCCAGCTTTTATTATTGTTTAGTTAAAGAAATCAAAATAGAAAATTATCATCTCATCTTTAATAAGCTGCAAAATTTTATGTTCTAAGTATGAGGAAACAAGTGTCCATCTACTACTGAATACTCCATGTATTCAAAATTAAGTCAAACACACATAGGAACAAACAATACAATAGAGGATTACATTATAGAATTAACGATAAAACAATAGTTATGATTCAAGTCATTGAGAATCAGATAACCCAATGTCCTCTTCTAAGTGAGAAAGGGAAATACTGCTCACACTGCCTTCTATCGGTGTCCCAATTGAATGAATGAACTGACAATATATAGAGGATGTTTTCAAAAGAATTTACAATGGAACAAATATAAAGATTCTGCAAGGAAATCGGAAGGTTTCAAGTGGACACAGTGAGAATTGGATAACCCAATATTCTCCAAAAAGGCAGAATGGGAATATGGTTAACAGACAATGTCACCCAGCGTTTTTAAAACTCTCAATAGTACATAATAATAATAACATACCTTAGTCATAAAATTGTCTTTTTTAAACATAACTTTAAGAGAGTGCCCCAATGCACACTCTGGGTCTGTCCTGGATGGATGTCTCTCGTCAAACGGATCTGGATCTTTCTTCATGAAATTCTCTGTCTCTGCTTCTATTATCTCTGCTATTCTGGAAATACAAATTTTCTCATTGTTTTACACTATCTCATGCTTATACCATCTCTGAAGAGCCTATCGCGTTAAGAGTTTCTGTTGAGGTTTTGAGCTTAAATAATGGGGATATATGGGCTCAACCTTCTAATGGTAGCAATGTCTTGCTAATGATAAATTGGTTGTGGGATCGACCCCTAACAGGTCCAACATATTTAAAATTTGTAGTTTTCCTGATCATGTTGGACTTCGTCTGGAAATGTGGATATTAAATGAGTGGTAGGAATATAGAAATTCTGGGTCTGACGAACCAACATCCACAGTTCTCAGTCTTGACGCTTAATCGAGTTTCGGTTTCAGTCTGTGGATTCCCAAATACCAAAGCCAGAATAGGTCAACAGAGTTAATTGTTTAGATACTATAGGCTGGGGTATATCACCAACTGTACATAAAACTGATCTGTGGACTGGACACGGACATGATAGGGGTTATCCTCTTTTCTTTATCTATGGCATAAAGAAATACATAAAACCCATTTTAGTAGTTGTTTCTGCCTTAATCATTTGTGGCTATGACTTGGTTTGCATAGGTCACACTTTAAACTGTTAAGATATTAAATCAAGAGATAGATGGAATTAATTTCCTATAGATTACAGTAATTGGATTTAAGTCAAATACGTTTGCGTTGATATTGTAATACTAAATTTTGCTTTGTGGAACTAAAATTTCTTAGTTATCATGCTTGCAGGCAACATGATTATCCATAAAGACGGAGAGGTGGTCTCAATGAATTTATAGATCAGAATAAATAGATATTTTCAACCAGAGATGTACAGACTCATTAAGACAAATCATGAACTGATGACGGGCCGCTGGAAGTATAGGTAATTAAAGAGAATAAAAAATTGATACTAATTTAATAAAATTTAAAAAGAATTTATTATTTTAGGAATTATTTTTGCTGTCGTCGGGCCACCAGTATTGCACTGAATGTCTAAGGCAGGTCGCGGTCAGTGCATCTCTGCAAATAAAATCAATCTTTGCAAAGTGGAAATAGATGAAATAGCAGTTAGGACTGATCACTCAGTCATGTATCAGTGTCCCCAATAGAAAATAACAATCAGTTACGGTTGAATAAAAATTGAGATTGAATCCATATCAAATAATATGTTTTTTAATAATTTTTTTTAAATTTAATTTTGTGGTACAGAAATATAATAGATAAAAAGGAGGCACTATTTCAATAATTTAAGGACTTTTTTCTTTCTATTGCTATTAGGAATGCATATAGATAAAACTGGTATGAAATCCCATTTCCTCTCATGGGGCAGGGGGTGAACACATTTCTGTCTGTTTCACTGATATATTTTTAATTAGATGCAAGTAGATGATCAGACTTCTGTATCCTGCCTGACTGAAACAATTTATTGTAACAGAGCTGGCATACAACAATAACATTCAAAATCAATGAAGCCAATTCAAAGTTTTAGCAATTTTTCTTCAAGTCAAGTGACCTAATTGGGGGTTTAGATTGTATGATAATAATAAAACTTTGCAATATAAAAAGCACATGTTTATAAGATCTTGTTCTAACTTGTCTCTTCCCATATGTTTATAGATTTAAAGTGATAGATTAGATATTCCCCCAATTAACATGGAATGGTTAAAATTCAAACTCATCGATAAAGTATCGTGAAAAAACTCTGTGAATAAGGATTTTGCGACTTAAATATGCTACGGAGTAAAATATTATAAAGTCAAACTGTAGTCAGATAATAACAATTCTTGCAGTACCTCGTCAAAGTCGGTATAGGATCATAATTTGGTGTCGTGTGCTGTTCCTCCCACTGCCTTAACAACTCGGTGACCTCCTGCGCGGGCCCAGAATCCATTTTTAAGCCACAACACGCCGGAAAAGTTGCCGAAAACTAAATCTAACCTCTTAGGAATAACAATTGAAACACATAACAAGATATGGTGCAATAACTTAACACATTAACTACGTAACAATACTTTTTAATTACAACTATTGCTTTACTTTACTCTCACAATGTTTTAGCTTCTATTAAATGTAACTTCGTAAAATTCTTACTATACCCGCATTCCTAAATATTCTGTCAGATATTCTGACACTGGTGACAGGAGCGTGATAAATGACAGATTGGCTATAGATAAGAAATACTAATACCAGCTCCTCAAGTTATTTTCTTAATACGCCTAAATTCTATGTAACACGTATTTGTAAGTTAAGAAAAAAATAACTATTATGATTTGATAAAATTAAAGTTTTTAAAATATATCTTTTACTTTAATAGTCAACTAATAGCCTGAAGCCTAATTACCTAAGTCGCATAAATAGCATAAATTCGCTGATATATCAATATAATATATAAAATAAGTAATGATTGTATAAACAATAAAAATCTTTATATTATTTCTTAAACTATTTTGTTAAGAATGAAAAAGAAACATTTCAAGTAAAAAAACCCTTTTTTATTTCTTATGTGTTAACATCTGCAGTCTGCACAATATGTGCGTGTCGTGATCTTTATGTATCTGTGGTAGCCGGCTATTATTGTTGAAAAGTTTTTAAATGTTGAAATTACTTTGTGTTTTGATTTAAAAATCAAGCAATTCAAATGACTGAAACTGAAAATTTACAACATATACAACGAAACATTATTCTTCATATTACTGAAACAGTTTGCATTAATAACAATGAGTAGTAACAGACAATCGCGTTTGCGAAATATACTTCAAGAACTGAGTTTAGGTAAGATCTTTCTGCTAAAATGTTATATTTTGTATGTGATATATTTTTCTATTAATCTTAAAGTACTTAATATACCGCGTTTTAAACCGTTAAAGTGTTTTATTTAAATTTAATCTATCTTAGAATTGTAAATTTATTATATAAAATATTTAAACTTACAGAGGAAGATAATGACAATAATGAAGAACGAATGCAGAAAACTAAATCGGCAGTCGAGGAGGTCAAAGTCATGCTCGCCCAGGGCGGAGTAGAGGAACGCGTTCGCCATCCAGGTAAGTTTTTTGGGCTTCAAAATGTATTTTTGCAATCCTCTTCAATCTTCATTATCGCGGTTACGTCCCTTGGTTCTTGCATCTTAAAAGACATACATATAGTGTTGTGGACAATTTTTTTGGTAATTTAAAGAGTAGTCATTTTTTCATACATATTTTTGGGTATCTTGAACCGTTTTCGCAGCATATGCAATGAGATCAAAGATGAATAATTTACCTGTTTCTCCCACTTTTTCTTCGCTCCTTAATTCTTTCCTCGAATAATGTTCTAAGCATTTTTCAATTAGGATCAGTAGTTCCTTAGATCCAGCCAATTTAATGGGGAAATGGGTGAAATGGTCAGCGGACAACGTGACATCACCCTCCTTCAAGTTCCCAAAAAATAATAATAATAATAGATTCAGCAAAACAAACTATATATTAGTATTATTGGTAATATAAACTAAAATTGGCAAAATGAAGTGGCAGTGGGCTGGGCACATCGCTTGTAGAATTGACGGCCGTTGGGGTGAAAAAGTGCTGGAGTGGACACCACAAACCGGACGTTGAGAACCTGGACAACCTTTTACCAGGTGGACCGACGACCTGGTCAAGGGAGCGGAGAAACACTGTATTCAACTTGCAAACAACCAGTTGTACTGAAAGTCTATGGGGGAAGCCTTTGTCCAGCAGTAGACACCGAACGGTTGAATCAAAAAAAAAAAATAAAGTATTATTGTGGGAAAGCCACAGTTAAACTAGCTTATTTATCCTAATATATTTTGCCAGGGTTGTGAACATTTTTAAAGATGTGATGTATTTTGCAGGTGAAAGCTTCTTGGATTCCCGGGTGCTTAGAAGTGCGAGCGATTTGGCTGTTGCTAGCTCCCAAGCTGTTAGTGGTATAGAGAACAAATATGACAAACACGAGCTGGCCCAGCATATTGTAAGGACTTTTAAACGCAACCTTTCTTAGACTTGTTGATCTAGTAATTGGTATGAGAAATAGGCCACATCCAATATGTTGCAGAAAAATAATAAATTGATTAGAAAAATTTTGTACCCTGTGAGAATTGAATCCACTACCTGTTGGTTATAAGCTCTATTTATTTATATTTTAAAACAAATAATTAAAATTTGTTTACACTATGATTACAATTAAAGATCCAAAATTCAATAATCACTAAATCACTTCAATTTCAGCGACAAAACCCAAACTTCTGGATCTTCCCCTTTCCGCGCGAGGTTCCAATCGTGACGTCACTGCATGGTACCTTCACCCCAACACCCCCAGAGCAGAGGCCCCGTGCCCGAAGAACGCGTACTGAGAGGCAACAGGCTTCAAACGTGGTCAAAGCCCCTGAGAATGTTGATATGTAAGATATAAAAACTTGCTCGCTGTCCTAATGGTGGCATTGTAGGGCTAATAATCAACGGGTCGTGGCTTCGATCCCCACTGGGCCCGACATGTTACATTTTTCAATTAGTTTTTTTTCTGAAACATTTAAATAAAACACTTTAACGGTTTAAAACGCGATATATTTTATTTTTAAGTACGGCCCGAAGTTTCGAATGCTTTGCAGCAGCCGTGGGCCAACTTGCAGAAATTTTAAGTACCACCAGTGCCCTATCAGCAGCCGTAGTTGAAGAACGAAACATCGTGGTTGAAATGGTCTAACTAATATGTTTCGCGATTTAAACCGTTAAAAATCGTTTTTTTTATGTATGGAATTTACACGTGTTCTTGCTATTTTTAATATTATACTGCTTTTTGTAACAGCAAGGGACTGAACGACTCGTGGTTGCAATCGTATATTTCGCGTTTTAAACCAGTAAAAAGCGTTTTAATTAATATATGTAATTTACACGTCTTCTTTCCTATTTTTAATGTGGGACTTTTCGTTCTAGGTTAGAGAAAACAGATGAAGCTTCAGAGATGGTCAGTCGAGTACATCGTTTTATTGTTAAGGCTTGTCGCAGTGGACCACAGAGCTACTATCATTTGGTCCTAGATCCCACAAGCTTTAGTCGAACCATCGAGAATATATACTATCTGTCGTTTCTAGTGAGGGACGGACTTATATCTGTGTACGAGAGTGAGTATAACCCACATATATGATGAGATGTTTTATAGCCTATAGCCTTCCTTGATAAACCATTTAACCAATAAAGAAAGTTTTTTTCCATTCGAACCCGTAGTTCCTGAGACATAAACAATTAAACATACAAACAAACTCTTCAGCTTTATATATTAGTATAGACTTAGATTTACATGGGTATGTAGATACAAGGGATGTAAGCAAATCAACGACAACAGAAGATAGAAGTCCTACTAATAAACGATCGCTGAAATGTGTTACAAACGTCGAGTTAAATAATATTAAAAAAAAATAAGTCGTTATTAAAGTGATTTTGAATATTGAGGCCATTTAGTCCACATATAATGGATATTTCTTTAATATTATGTCATCTGTGGCAACGACTGCACTCTATAACGGTGCATCACTAGATATCTATGGTTTGAAATCGGCCATCTTTGTTGTATTATTTTGCCAAGTAAGAAAAATACACTATAGACGTGCATTATTTTCAGATGAGGAGTGTGGTCTTCCCTTCGTTCAGCCCGTATCTGCGCAGGCGCAACAGAACTCTTCAGGCGCTAGCAAGAACCAGTTCATCATTTCAATGAACATGAAACAGTGGAGGGTGAGAAAACATTGAAAATAATCTATTACCAAAGTTTACGCTTGTAAAATCTTTTTCTTTAGGTTCAAACTCTGCGCAAGAGCTTTCAGGTTGTATCCCCCAAAACAATAGCTTCGGTCGGACGGGGCAATAAATTGAGTCAGTCAGCGCAAATCATTTATTCATGTAGGTAACTATGTACACTTTGACGTCACAAAATAATTATAGAATCTAACTTTACATTTACTACCAGTTCTCAAATCAAGGGCGTAGAACGAACGAGAGAACTGGCAATAAACTCGACGTCACTCGTTTTATCGAGTCATTTTAATTCTCTCACTATGATAGTCCACCTTTACCAATTAGGGGATCAACATGGCACTTAGCAATAAAAAATGGGTTACAATAATTTCTTTTAATGATAAAGGTGAAATACCAAACCCATATACCATTTAAAGGTGCGCTATCGACCTATTTCGGCTATGAATTCACAGTTTTACACATTTTTCATCTGTAGACCGTGGCTCGTGACTCAGACGGGATTTGGATATTTCGCGATTCCCTATCTTACGAATTCGTAGTAATATAAATTATAAATGAGACCGCTAGAGGCAGAGGAGCCCAAACGCATTTGTTTAAACTGCCCTAATTTTTTTCTTTCAAAAAAAAAAAAAATTTAACCCCAAAGGCCCGGGGCCCAAAAAATTTTTTAAATTTTTTTTTAAAAAAAAAAAAAAAAAAATTTTTCCCCCCAAAAAAAAACCAAATTTTTTTTTTCCCCCTTTTTAAAAAAAAATTTTTTTTTTTTTTTCCCCCCCCCCCCCCCCCCCCCAAATAAGTTTATGACTTAACTTATATATAACGCGTTTTAAACCGTTAAGTTGCTTCGCAGCGGTCGTGTTCTGGAAGGGTGATAAATTGTTAATAAGTTAATACATTTCGTGTTTAAAACCGTTAAAATGCTTTATTTTAAAGTATGCCACATTCGTTAAAAATACTCAGCCAAACAGACTCAGGAATGTGTCCATCTTTTATCCTCATACCTTATTAATTATTATAATATTATTTAATTATCTCTCGAAAATGGGAAATAGTGATTCTATGTTCTTTTAAATATAACACTGACGGGTTTAAAACGCGAAATATATTCGCTAATTTTATTTTGAAAAACATTTTAACTACGATTTGTCGAGAAAATGCGCGTGCGCGTTGGCATTCGCGTTTTAAACCATTAGATGTTTTATTTAAAAAATTGTGACTATATTTTATTTACAATCAACTATATATTGTACTCCTGTGTCCCCGATCGACACTGTTGCGTTGCGATTTTGAACTCGTTAGTCTAATTAAAAATTTCTAGAATCTGGTTAGTAATCTGGTAAAATTAAAATTGCGTCCGTTTTAACGTTAAGCAAATAAATGTATAGTAATATATAAAGCTGAAGAGTTTTTAAAGTTTATAAAGCTGTTTAGAGCATTTATCGAGGAAGGCTGTAGGCTATAAAACTCGCTTGACTAATGCAGCGGAGAAACAGCCAGAAGAAAAAAAGGCGAAAATTATTTATGCCTGGGGGTTTCCGTTGCGTACGCGTCGAAAACGGTTTAAGATAATTTAAAAAATTTAAAAATCGAAAATAAATTGAAAAAATTTCGACTCGGGCAGGACTTGAACCGGCATCGTCAGCTTTCCGTGCTGTTGCTCTACCAATTGAGCTACCGAGTCCTACACCTCATCGTCGAATTTTTTCAACTGATTGATACATGCACCTCTCGCGCAGTGTAATTTCAACCTTAACACTTCATGTGCAATGTGAAAAATATTAATGTTTTCAAACGGTTTAAGATATCCAAAAAATATGTGTGAAAGAATGATTCCTCTTTTAATGATCTAAAAAAAGTCTGCGACGCTATATGTCTATCTTTTAAGATTAACTTGCAAGAACGACAGGAAGGGGTACGAACAAGGAGGGAACGACACGACCGACGTCGTGGGTAACAGCATAAGTTTATAAAGATTTGCAAAAACGATTTTGGATACACAAGAAAAAACGAGTCTCAGGGACGGAGTCGCTGGCACAGCTAGTCTTTAATAATTATTCTATGTCCTCTTCTTTTCAGGAACTTACGAACGCTTTTGGAATAACACGAACAATGATGGCGATAGACCGCATGTGACAATGTTGAAATAGAACTCTCTTTATTTATTTGTATATAGTTAATAAATCTTTTATTTTCCCAACTTTGGTATTTCTTACTCTAACTCTATTTAATGGCGAGTGATTAAAAAAAACTATCGACGGTTTTAAACGCGAATTCCTTTTCTTATTGTCTTACCAAGTCTTAGTTAAAATAAAATAAATTAAGTTAACCTATATAAATCGCGTTTTAACCCGATAAAAGTGTTTTATTAAAATGTGTGCTACCTTCGTTAACTACAGACAATGCTCAGCCAGACTCAGAAACGTGTTACTATTTAACGTCTGGTTAGTATTTAACGTCCGGTTCCTATTTAACGTCCGGTTACTATTTAACGTCCGGTTACTATTTAACGTCCGGTTACTATTTAACGTCTGGTTAGTATTTAACGTCCGGTTACTATTTAACGTCCGGTTAGTATTTAACGTCTGGTTAGTATTTAACGTCCGTTTTGTATTTACCGTCCGGTTAGTATTTAACGTCCGGTTAATATTTAACGTCTGGTTAGTATTTAACGTCTGGTTAGTATTTAACGTCTGGTTAGTATTTAACGTCTGGTTAGTATTTAACGTCCGGTTACTATTTAACGTCTGGTTAGTATTTAACGTCTGGTTACTATTTAACGTCCGGTTACTATTTAACGTCCGGTTACTATTTAACGTCCGGTTACTATTTAACGTCCGGTTACTATTTAACGTCCGGTTACTATTTAACGTCCGGTTAATATTTAACGTCCGGTTACTATTTAACGTCTGGTTAAGTATTTAACGTCCGTTTAGTATTTAACGTCCGGTTAGTATTTAACGTCCGGTTAATATTTAACGTCTGGTTAGTATTTAACGTCTGGTTAGTATTTAACGTCTGGTTAGTATTTAACGTCCGGTTACTATTTAACGTCTGGTTAGTATTTAACGTCTGGTTAGTATTTAACGTCCGGTTAATATTTAACCGTCTGGTTAGTATTTAACGTCCGGTTACTATTTAACGTCCGGTTAGTATTTAACGTCTGGTTAGTATTTAAAGTCCGTTTTGTATTTAACGTCCGGTTACTATTTAACGTCCGGTTAATATTTAACGTCTGGTTAGTATTTAACGTCTGGTTACGTATTTAACGTCTGGTTACTATTTAACGTCTGGTTACTATTTAACGTCCGGTTACTATTTAACGTCTGGTTAGTATTTAACGTCCGGTTACTATTTAACGTCCGGTTAGTATTTAACGTCTGGTTAGTATTTAACGTCCGGTTAGTATTTAACGTCTGGTTAGTATTTAACGTCTGGTTACTATTTAACGTCTGGTTAGTATTTAACGTCTGGTTAGTATTTAACGTCCGGTTACTATTTAACGTCTGGTTAGTATTTAACGTCTGGTTACTATTTAACGTCCGGTTACTATTTAACGTCTGGTTAGTATTTAACGTCCGGTTACTATTTAACGTCTGGTTAGTATTTAACGTCCAGTTACTATTTAACGTCCGTTTTGTATTTAACGTCCGGTTAGTATTTAACGTCTGGTTAGTATTTAACGTCCGGTTACTATTTAACGTCTGGTTAGTATTTAACGTCTGGTTAGTATTTAACGTCCGTTTTGTATTTAACGTCCGTTTTGTATTTAACGTCCGGTTAGTATTTAACGTCTGGTTACTATTTAACGTCTGGTTAGTATTTACCGTCCATTTACAAGTAAACGCCTGGTTAAAATTTAATGTCCGGTTCCTATTTAACGTCCGTTACTATTTAACGTCCGGTTACTATTTAACGTCTGGTTAGTATTTAACGTCTGGTTAGTATTTAAAGTCCGTTTTGTATTTACCGTCCGGTTACTATTTAACGTCCGGTTAGTATTTAACGTCTGGTTACTATTTAACGTCTGGTTAGTATTTAATGTCCGTTTTGTATTTAACGTCCGGTTACTATTTAACGTCTGGTTAGTATTTAACGTCCGGTTACTATTTAACGTCCGGTTACTATTTAACGTCCGGTTAGTATTTAACGTCCGGTTAGTATTTAACGTCCGGTTAGTATTTAACGTCCGTTTTGTATTTAACGTCCGGTTACTATTTAACGTCCGGTTACTATTTAACGTCCGGTTAGTATTTAACGTCCGGTTAGTATTTAACGTCCGGTTACTATTTAACGTCCGGTTAGTATTTAACGTCCGGTTACTATTTAACGTCTGGTTAGTATTTAACGTCCGGTTACTATTTAACGTCCGGTTAGTATTTAACGTCCGGTTACTATTTAACGTCTGGTTAGTATTTAACGTCCGGTTACTATTTAACGTCCGGTTAGTATTTAACGTCTGGTTAGTATTTAACGTCCGGTTAGTATTTAACGTCCGGTTAGTATTTAACGTCCGGTTAGTATTTAACGTCTGGTTAGTATTTAACGTCTGGTTAGTATTTAACGTCCGGTTATTTTAACGTCCGGTTACTATTTAACGTCTGGTTAGTATTTAACGTCCGGTTACTATTTAACGTCCGGTTAGTATTTAACGTCCGGTTAGTATTTAACGTCCGTTTAGTATTTAACGTCCGGTTAGTATTTTAACGTCCGGTTAATATTTAACGTCTGGTTAGTATTTAACGTCTGGTTAGTATTTAACGTCCGGTTAGTATTTAACGTCCGGTTAGTATTTAACGTCTGGTTAGTATTTAACGTCTGGTTAGTATTTAACGTCCGGTTACTATTTAACGTCCGGTTACTATTTAACGTCTGGTTAGTATTTAACGTCCGGTTACTATTTAACGTCCGGTTAGTATTTAACGTCCGGTTAGTATTTAACGTCCGGTTAGTATTTAACGTCTGGTTAGTATTTAACGTCCGGTTACTATTTAACGTCCGGTTAGTATTTAACGTCTGGTTAGTATTTAACGTCTGGTTAGTATTTAACGTCCGGTTAGTATTTAACGTCCGGTTAGTATTTAACGTCCGGTTAGTATTTAACGTCCGGTTACTATTTAACGTCTGGTTAGTATTTAACGTCTGGTTACTATTTAACGTCTGGTTAGTATTTAACGTCCGGTTACTATTTAACGTCTGGTTAGTATTTAACGTCCGGTTACTATTTAACGTCTGGTTAGTATTTAACGTCCGGTTACTATTTAACGTCCGGTTAGTATTTAACGTCTGGTTAGTATTTAACGTCCGGTTAGTATTTAACGTCCGGTTACTATTTAACGTCTGGTTAGTATTTAACGTCCGGTTACTATTTAACGTCCGGTTAGTATTTAACGTCTGGTTAGTATTTAACGTCCGGTTACTATTTAACGTCTGGTTAGTATTTAACGTCCGGTTACTATTTAACGTCCGGTTAGTATTTAACGTCTGGTTAGTATTTAACGTCCGTTTAGTATTTAACGTCCGGTTAGTATTTAACGTCCGGTTACTATTTAACGTCTGGTTAGTATTTAACGTCTGGTTAGTATTTAACGTATTTAACGTCCGGTTACTATTTAACGTCTGGTTACTATTTAACGTCCGGTTACTATTTAACGTCTGGTTAGTATTTAACGTCCGGTTACTATTTAACGTCCGGTTAGTATTTAACGTCCGGTTACTATTTAACGTCTGGTTAGTATTTAACGTCTGGTTAGTATTTAACGTCTGGTTAGTATTTAACGTCCGGTTACTATTTAACGTCTGGTTAGTATTTAACGTCTGGTTAGTATTTAACGTCCGGTTACTATTTAACGTCTGGTTAGTATTTAACGTCCGTTTTGTATTTAACGTCCGGTTACTATTTAACGTCCGGTTACTATTTAACGTCCGGTTACTATTTAACGTCTGGTTAGTATTTAACGTCCGTTTTGTATTTAACGTCCGGTTACTATTTAACGTCCGGTTAGTATTTAACGTCCGGTTACTATTTAACGTCCGGTTACTATTTAACGTCCGGTTAGTATTTAACGTCCGGTTAATATTTAACGTCCGTTTAGTATTTAACGTCCGGTTACTATTTAACGTCCGGTTACTATTTAACGTCCGGTTACTATTTAACGTCTGGTTACTATTTAACGTCCGGTTACTATTTAACGTCTGGTTAGTATTTAACGTCCGGTTACTATTTAACGTCTGGTTAGTATTTAACGTCCAGTTACTATTTAACGTCCGTTTAGTATTTAACGTCCGGTTAGTATTTAACGTCTGGTTAGTATTTAACGTCCGGTTACTATTTAACGTCTGGTTAGTATTTAACGTCTGGTTAGTATTTAACGTCCGATTTACACTTAACGTCCGGTTAGTATTTAACGTCCGTTTTGTATTTAACGTCCGGTTAGTATTTAACGTCTGGTTAGTATTTAACGTCTGGTTAGTATTTAACGTCCGTTTAGTATTTAACGTCCTGGTTAGTATTTAACGTCCGGTTCCTATTTAACGTCCGGTTACTATTTAACGTCTGGTTAGTATTTAACGTCTGGTTAGTATTTAACGTCCGGTTAGTATTTAACGTCCGGTTAGTATTTAACGTCCGGTTAGTATTTAACGTCCGGTTACTATTTAACGTCCGGTTAGTATTTAACGTCTGGTTAGTATTTAACGTCTGGTTAGTATTTAACGTCCGGTTAGTATTTAACGTCCGGTTACTATTTAACGTCCGGTTACTATTTAACGTCCGGTTACTATTTAACGTCCGGTTACTATTTAACGTCTGGTTAGTATTTAACGTCCGGTTACTATTTAACGTCCGGTTAGTATTTAACGTCCGGTTACTATTTAACGTCCGGTTAATATTTAACGTCCGGTTACTATTTAACGTCCGGTTAGTATTTAACGTCCGGTTAGTATTTAACGTCTGGTTACTATTTAACGTCCGGTTACTATTTAACGTCCGGTTAGTATTTAACGTCCGGTTACTATTTAACGTCCGGTTACTATTTAACGTCCGGTTACTATTTAACGTCTGGTTAGTATTTAACGTCTGGTTAGTATTTAACGTCCGGTTACTATTTAACGTCTGGTTAGTATTTAACGTCCGG